GAAACCACTTGTGGTTCAGACTCATTTCACTGTGAGATGGGATGCTGCTACATAATAACCGTTAGCTTTATCATTTTTATGGCGTAGCAGCGGAGGGAACAATGTAATCAGAGGTGTACACTCTGCCTTCTCCTTGAGCTTACATAGCCTTGAATTCCCGATATCCACCCAAACTTTGCAGAACTGTGGGACCATTCGAAAACTTTTTAGAAGGCTCAGCTTTATCAAAGTTTCAGGTCAAGCTGGTATGTTAGTTTTTTAATGTTTGAATGTCTTCATGATATAAACACTTAAAGAAATTAATGTGAAGATTTTATATTTCCCTGCACCGAGTGAGTGTTGAAGTTATTGGCTGTAGGTTTTAAAAGGTAAATCTACTCATTTTCAATCACAGTCAGGGGTGTAGTTAAAAAAGAAAACCTTCTGTCTGCTCTGTGGTGTTTATAACAGATCTGATATGAGGACGTAGTGGACCAGAAGAGAGTGGTATTTTCATCATCATGTGCTGTAGTCTGATTGTTGTATTTCCTTTATGCTTAATGGACCACATACCCAGTCTCTTTTGCTTCCTTTGTCTCCCTTTGTGATAATCCAGCGCACCATCAGTCTTGCATCTGCAATGGAGAAAAACTGGACTTATCAGACGTGTGCACTGTCAACAGAAAAAAACATTGCTTTTTCATGATAACAATTCTACTCGACTCTTAAAGGAAGTCCTGTGGCTTAATCAATAGTATAATTACGCTTATGGAAACTCTTATGTCATGCGTGGCAGTGATTGGACGACGGTGTGTTGTAATCAGCGAACACAGGGCTCAGTGACTCCTCTGGCTCAGGCTGTGGGTACGGCTGCGCTGAATAACTGTGGATGAAGTATAGGGAAGGACACGGATGATCTCATGGTGTTTATAATCAGGCTTTGAATTAAATCCACACAGGCAAAGCTCAAGCCTTCCTCGAAAGTGTAATCCTTTGGTGTTTGATTGATTCTAAATGAAGATGTTTGACATTCATTTTTATGTTACCTCATGTTTCATGTTATGTTACCTCAATTGATCTACCGCTTCAAAATTGTTGGCCGTGTGAATAAAGCTTTTGTCTTCACACAGACCTGCTGACCAGATGGTTGCTGTTTTTATTTATTCTAATGAGGGAGAAATTGTGACGCAATATACCTAAGCACAGGCGAGAGCTGTCAGCAGCACCTCGGTACTTTCTTTAAGATGTGAGGACATCCTTTAGCAGACACAAGGGCTGAACTGCGGTGCTGTATTAACTTCCCTCTGGAGACCTCATTTGATTCCAGTCAATGACAATTTTTCTGCAAATTGTGACTTTAGGGAGTATGAACGAAATCTGGAAAAGTTTCAACTCAGCACCCCACTTCTGGCATTTGCAAGCATTTTGTGCAGCTCTTTTGTCAGGATACATCAATAAAGTGCAGTGCCCAATGAAGGTGTGCAGTGAATATGAGCAGATGCATAAAGAGAGTAAAGAGAGGGACGATTTTTGAGGGAAAACATACAGTTTATGTGTTAAAAGACATTTTTATTTGTGAAAGGTGGAAAGAAATATACATTTGAGTCAAGGCTTGTCTCTGAGCTCAGTTTGTTTTATTCTGACACCGCTTACAAGCATAGCTAGTGGGCAACAGTTACTGATTCTCATTAAAGATTGTTCCTTTTCACGTTACATTTGTCTTGTGTTTCTGGAGCCAAGCTAAAAAAGGGGGGGAGAAAAAACATGCCCACTGGAGTTCTCATCACTCTCATACTCGCTGTGGCAGGGCTGGCAAGCTGACGCTCCTTCAAGGGTACTCAACAACAAAACATTTTTATTCCATGTTTTCCTCCACAAACACAAAAGAGTTCCTCTTCACCTGTCAACATGATTATTCAGTTCAGTGTTTCCTGCTGAATGCAAAGCGGTGGTCTTACTTTCCCACATGGGAGCTGTGGGAAGTCTTGAGACTGGAGACAAAGGAGGCCTACAATCCTGCCTGGATTACCTCATGCCTTTGGTCCCTGAAGTGGCCAGTCAGTCTCCCTCTCCCTGCTATTAAAAACAAGCAAGGATGGTGAGGGAGTAAGGAAGGGAAAAGAGAAAGAGTCGGAAATAGAGGAAGAGTAGAGAGTTGAGTGGGTGGGAGCATAAAAGGTGCCTGTAAGGAAATGAGGAGGAAGAAAGAGGTCCAAGTTAAGAAAGGAGTCCAATGTTTAGTATTCTTGCATGTTTGTATGATTAGGCCAAGTAGGGCAATTAGTCCAGATGGAGAATAGAGTTTGAGTCTAAGCAGAAGACGACTGACTCACAAAGATGTTTCCCTGTGGACACAGTTCACCTGGTGTGAACTTCCAATCCAGTGCTTCAGGTTAGCTGACCTGACACAACACTCAGTATGGAAACGCACATATTTATAGTGAGGTTACCACCTCCTGCCAATGTAGATTAACGCCTGTAGCCACTGACCTTGTGTGTTATTCACCAGGAGGAGGCACCACAGCAACTTCCGCAAGGGCTTAGCTTGTTTCAGACTGTGTGGTGCAGAGCATTGCATTACTCCATGTGGTAGGTTCTATTTTTATTGTGTTCCTGTCCATATATTTAAAAAATGCTGGTAAAGTTAGATATCTGTTTTTCATTGCTGATGGTAGACACCTGCATGGTAAATCACCAGCTGTTTTGTTTCCCTTTGTCCTGTTGTTTTGTTTTTGGCCACTTGGGGGCAGAACTCCAAATAAAACTCACATTTTTTTATATGTGGCTGAATGAAGGTGATGTTACTAACTTTTGGAAGAAAGTTGAATTTTTTTTTTGTAAATGTAGAAGATACAGACCATAGATAGATGCTGCAAATAAGATCAATGATAACAAAACTGAAAACTCCTAAAATGTTGTTAATGCCTGTAACTGCTGTGAGGGTGTAGCTATGCTGAAGCAACAGTCTCAGTTACTTTGCCTACGACAACTATTCATGGTAAGTGATAAATTTCACTGTAAAGAGACAACAGACGGAGAGTTTTCTGTTAATGAACTCAAATTACACAAGGATGGGAAAATCAGCAACAACATACAGGTAACCACTTTGTCCACAGGAGGCGCCAAAGTCAACACAGACTGAAGGTTCCTCACAGGAGCTTTAACTGCTTCACAATTATCATGGCTAAACTCTGTTTTTGACTCAATCTTCTCCTCATAACACATCTGTTCCTTTTACAGATTAACAGAAACACTGATAAAAAGGAACCACAGCTAGCTGTGATGAATACACCTGAATTTAAGGGCCTTTCTTAAACCACTCCCTGTATGTACCCTTTCCCTGTACTTGAGCGCTGTTCAAAACCACTGAGTTAGGATTGAAAGAGAGTTTTTAGACCCTTAAAGATTGAGTTTACGCAAAACTGGTCGACTGACCAGATGTAATGGAGGTACTCCTAAATTTAAAGTCCTGTGTTGGAACCCCCATAGACGTAAACTGCTTTCTGCATGATTAAAATGATGAGATCATACAGATGTGAATATATTCAGGATCTACTTGACCACTGTTTAGAATAAAAAATGGCACATATTTATTGACTGTGAAGATTTTTTCCAATATCACACAAAATTAACAGTGCTTAATTTAACATGCACACTGACCACAACATTGATTCTTCAGTCCCAGTGGCTCCATTTTTTTCTGTTGCAAGGCTTAAAAGATAGAAGAAGATTATTGATCTGATAGTTTGATCTGAAATTACAGTCTAAAAGCTGAACAGGTAATTGGCTAGAGCCAAAAAAGTACTTTTATAAGGCACAACTTTAAATCACAACCCTTACTTACAGTACTACACAGTATGTATACTTCAACAGGTGCAGTATGTTAAATCAAACAACCTCTTCAGTCACAGAATTGTTCTTACTTTCTTGCTTCAAATGTACTTTGTTTTTGCCCGATGCAATAAAACTTCACATTAAGAGGATGAATAATGAAACGGACCTAATTTACATCTAGAAAAGCAACACATTTGACCATTTTCAAGAACAGGTTGATGTTGAGATGCCTTTACTTGCATGCTTGCTCGATTTACTTAATGTAATAAGTAAACACTTTTTTGTACCTTAGTTTAACCTGTAATAGGAAATAAGGAGGCTGGTTGAAATAACATCTCATGTGAATAAGAATTTGGACTTTTAAACGTGTGAAAAAAGAAATGGTCAGTGTAGGTGATGAAAGTGATGTGTGGAAAATGCAAGCTGTAGCAACTATCACCCCAATATCTGAGAGTATCAAGCTGTCTCGCAGCATCAAGTGTTTCAAATCATAAATGAATTGGAAAAACAGCTAATATCTCACAGGACTGAGCCTCATTGATTTTACCCTCAGAGCATGAAAAAAAGAGAAAATCACTTTGCAAGCAGCATGGAGCCTGAGTCTGCAAGGCTTACTGACTTAACCTTGAGGTGTTGAATAATTTTTCTGTCATTTGATGTGATCTGCGCTGCCTTAGCTGAGGACTGGAGACCACACATAAGCCTATTTGGTGGTATCATCGAGGTGATACAGAGGAAAGATAGTAAAGTCAGACTGCTTTTGACTAAGAATAAAAATACTTCTATAAAAAGTACCTGGCTGAGAGTCATCTGAGTGAGAGGTTAAACAGTATTGTGAAAAATAATTGTTGTATAATTAATATTAAAACTGTGGGAGTGTTTCTGTTATAGTTTATAAATCAATAATGATAATTCATTTGGTCAGTCTGGACAAAAATCATTCATATCATCATCTTTGCAGAAAGAACCAAAGGATAGATATCATTTTACCAAGGCTTCTGAAAAAGGGTGGAACTTAAGTTCAAACTATCTGTGAACATCAGAAAAACCCTGAACTGTGCTGATGTCTCTGCTGCTTTAAGAAAGTAAATGGTGACTCTGTGTGAAATGGGCTGCATGTTAATAACAAGTCAGTGAAGAAATCTGCCAGTACGATACAGCCTTTGGAAGCAGTGGCCAACTTTTTTCAGGACTTGAGGTAGGTGTAGACAAATCTGATGAATTACTAAAAGTCAACAAACTGCTATGACTGCAGTCACCTTTAACATGAGAGCATTTCAATGTAAGCTGTCAAAGTGTATGCCTTTGCATTTACCTTAAAAATAATTTCCATGTAACTCAACATCTGGAAGAAATATATAAATGACATTGGGTAGAATCAGCAGGATTTATATCATTTTTATTAGCTGTAAACTTTTGTTAACTTTGCATGAAAAACAGTCCCTCGAGTGACTACAGTTATTCTTTAAATGAGAGGGCACACAGCACCATAATTGAAAGCTCTATCACTCAACACTTCATTACAAATATGTAGCAGGTGTTCAAGTTTTTCTCCACCTCTCCATGTGATATTTGATTCAGCTGTTGTTTTGACCTATGGGCAATATGTAAAACCTAAACAATGTTATGATGGCCTAAGACATCTTTTGATTCAATGTTGATTGATTTCCCATCAGAATCATCATTATTGTTGATGTTGAAATTTCAATTCAAAATCAATGTTGTTGCAATGTTAAGAAAAAACAATGGAAACTGATGATAAAGTAACAATGATAGCAGCGGTGTTGAAAAACATTGATCTACAGTTGTCCTCGTTATAATTGATTTTACATCATGACAATGACCCTGAAAAGATGTTGATTCAAAGTTGACCAGGAGATACTGACATGATTGAGAAGTCATTGATTTATGGTTAAGCAGGAGACAATCCTGTGGTAAAATGCTATTCATCCAGTCATCTCTCCGTATCAGGTGAGCACTATAAAAAAGGATTCTTACTTTTTGTCAGCAAAACATAATATTTTAAGATGTGTTAGCTTAAAGAAATTAATTTGTCAGAGGAAGTTAAAACTTTATATTGTTCTGAGTATTGCAATAGCAAGTTGCCACAACTTGATCTTTAAATGAAACTTTTTGAAACTTTTTTGTCAAGTTTTCAAGATCACGGGGTGTGAGAATGATTGACAGCCCCTGCTGGTTCAACCTGTACATTACACTATTAACCTGTGCAGGGCCTGCCTTGATGTTACTTCGGATTGGATTTGTCAGAAAATGGGAATAGACTTTTTTTCACAGTACGCGGAAGCTAACACCGGAAGTGAGCAGAATGTTCACTTCCGGTGTTAGCGTGTGGTGGAGCCACTTAGCGTCGCCCATGGACGGCCATTCATTTTTCACGATATTAACAAGCTCACGACTCGTTTTTTTTGAAAGGTAAAGTAAAATTTTATGCTTTCTGTTTTACTTACTCCTGTTCTTCATAATACTGTCCGGAACTAAGCAGAATGCTAACTTCCGCGTACTGAGAAAAAGGTCTATTTATATAGTTCCTACTGCTTTATGAAAGTCTACTTATAAGTACATAAAATCTGTATAAACAAGATTTAATGACAACCTCACCATCACCAAGATGAATTTTACTGACGTACTGGTTGCTATAAACTCAGTTTTCACTTTGATGCCTGTTCAGAAAAAAAATTAAACTAATGTCAATACCACTGGATGATTTGGATGATGAGCTGTTGTCAATTTTCATTTTGCAGTTTGGAACTGAGAGATTGCTGCTTATTTTTTTGCCTCTTCACCTGTTACCTCAAACACCCGAGGACGAGACATCTTCAGAAGTTGGTGCATCAGATGCAGCTAACCGCTTGATGAAATTCATACAGGTACGTTCTTAGAAATGTAAAATATATCACTCTACCTGTGAGTTTCAAAGGTCAGCTCAATTTTTGACTGAGCTAGTGGCTTAATGTGATTTAGATTTAGTTGTTTGTTTGTTTTTTTCCCACCAGATGAGCATAGTGTTTCAGCATTTTATTTTCTTTAAAATTGTGGCACTCCAAGACCAAAATCAACTGGATATAGGGTCCGTTATTAACTGTTAAACTGTAATAGGAGTTGGTTGTGTACTGGATTACATTGTATTGAAAGGTGTTCCTAATATTTTGCCCCCCCCCCCCCCCCCCCATGTTTTTTTAAAAAGTGGTCAAAATATAAGGAACACGATTTAGTATAGAGCACTCCAGTACACCATGACCACATACAAGAAGAACAGATGGCACCTTTCTCACCATGTCAACAAAAAATGCAAATTCTGAAGCTTTCTGATTGTAGAATTTGAGGTAGAGCTGTAAGATTATATCTATATGTTGTGTATGCCATCCTTTAATGGCAGTGACATGTTTGGTTCCTGTAGAGTATGAGGGGGTAAGCAAATGGGTCATGGTGCTAAAGACTGAGGATGTCTACAGTAACCTTAAATGTTTAGGTGGAGATAATTTGAGTGACAGTATTTTCGGGGAAGTGCTTCAAAGTGTATTTTAGACTTGAATTCATGCTGGATGATATCTCTTAGTGGAGATATCTTTTCTTTGTTAGTGCTGGCAAATTTGATTAACTTCTAATGTCATCTCATGTCTCATTTAAGGCCTTCTCTAACTCCTCCTCCTTATTTCTCTGAAAATGTTAGACTCATTTTTCAGTTTATGTGTGTGTTTTAAACATGCTTTTTAGAATTTTTATGAGTGTCTACGAATATAAAATATTTTAATATGTTATGTGGTAAATGATCCAGATATTGCAGGTACAGTACAGCTATGCTGCTCTGTACAAGTATCATGTTTCACTTGTCATCCCAGACTGTCAGAGCAGCCCTTTACTCAATATCAGGCAGTGATTAGATCTCCAAGGAATATGAGAAAACAAAGTGTCTCTCTAATAGCGCAAGAAGAAAGATAGTGAGCATACCTGTGGCAGACATGGTGGTGAGTCATGGGTGTGTGTCGATTTAGGATTAGGACTAAGTCCTAGTAACCTTGTGTTAACTGTTATTTTAGTGTTTTGTTGAAATCAAGTTAAACATCATGGTAAAGAAGGTTTAGTGTAGTCTGATGCCTGTGATAAATTTGAGTGGTTTGTGTAGGTTGAGCCAGTGAAATACAGAGATTTCCTGACATTAGGATGAATGGCTGGACATGTCAGGAAATGGGTAGTGTGGAAATGTCACCAAGTAGTGCAGTGGTTGGGCATGGAGCGATGCTGAGGCTGAGGATGTCAGACAGCTTGCTCATGACCTTCAACCAGAAGGTTTGAACATATGGACAGATCCAGAGGGCGTGGAAGTAGTCATCTGTTTTGGTTGGGCAGTGTGGACAGGTGTTATTTTGGCTGAAACCCATGTGATACAATTTGTGAGTGGTGAGGTGGGTTTTGTACGGTATTTGCTGGGTTTTGGAGTTGAGTGGTTGATGTATTATTGGACATATTGTGCCAGTTGAAGTCTGTTGAAAGGTTGCTGATGCCTGAGGACCATTTTTCTGACTTTTTTTTATTTTTATCTTTAACTCAATTTACTGAAAGAAGCAGTGGTCGGGAATCTTGTATTTCTTTTATTTGGTTGAAGGTCATGAGCAAGCCGTCATGGAGCAGATGTCCCAGTCTGGCTACTCCTCTCTGGGTTTTCCAATAGAAGTCAGGGAGCCCCAGCCAAGGGGTGGGTTGATAGGAGTCATAGCAAAGGGGTAGTTGAGTTTTGGAAAGATGCACTTGTGCTAGAGGGGTACAGTTAAACTTAAAATAGGTCATTTAAATTTGATGAGATTAAGATACCAAAGCAAGCAATACATTTGGCGGTATGTATCAGAAAGGGATCACCAGCTCAAGCATCCTAGTCATGTTTGGTTACAAGCAGAATCTCAGATTTTGTCCATCTGATAGAGTAGCCAGACACCATACTGTAGTTACTGCATATTATGGACTGATGGAAGCAAAGATGTGGGATTTGTAATGTAAAGTAGTATGTCATCAGCAAAGAGACTGATTTTGTGATGGTGGGATTTTGATTGGGTGCCTGTGATATGTTTACATTGTCTGATGGAAGTAGCCAGAGGTCCAGCAAAGAGAAGTGAGGATAATGGGCATCCTTGTCCAGTATCTCTCTGTGACTGAAAAGCTTTTGAAACCAGTCCATTAGTTATTGCAGATGCAGTGGGTGAGTTGTTCAGTGTTTTAATCCAGTTGATGAAATATGGTGGTCAAGGGAGGTGAAGAGAGAGGACCAGTCTATCACAGCATCCAGCGTTGCCATGGCAAATGGTGAGATGTTGTATGGGGGGCTGTTTTCGTGAAAGTTGATCAGATTGAAAAGTCTCTGAGTGTTTTGTGAAGAATGCCTCACTTTGATGAAACTGCTTTGAGTAGTTATTTGTGACTAATGGACTTATTCATCAAGAAGCAGTCAGAGTATGATTTATGGTGGGGTGAGTGGTAGGTATATTGGTTATTGCTTGGGTTGTTTAGTCTCCAAATAGCCATCAGTCCATAATCTGATGTGTATTGTTTCAACACAAATGTAGATTGGTTGGATTTGGAAGTGGGATCGATCATTAGATGGGTCTAAAACTGTGTTGTAATCGCTGCCTGGGATGATGTGTGAGTGAGGGAAGTTAGATGGTGCTGTGAATAAAGAATGAAAAAAGGAGGGAGAGTCTGAGATGAGTGAGAATGTCTTTTCCAATTGTTTCAGGGATAATAATATAGCAGCTCTCTGGGTCTATTAGAGTTGAATTGTGGGTAAATGGGATGTTTTTGCTGATTAGAATGGAGACACAAGGTTTTTTGGAGCTGTATGTAGAGCAATATGTCTGGTCTATCCGTTTGTCTGTAAGCTTCTGAGATTCTGCCTCTGTTAAGTGAGTTTCTTGAGGAAACAGACACCAGATTGAAGATTTCTAAGGTGGCTGATAATTTTTGTCCTTTTTGGAGATCAGGAGAGCTGATTCCTCTCATGTTATGTGGTTTAATTTTCACTGACAGAACCATGTTCTTGTTATTGTACAACACTGGGTTTGGTTACACAATGTGCAGGAAGTATGCATATGGAGTAGGATTATGAGTATGATAAATATGGCACACAAGACAGAATCAACTTTTGACATAAACACAAAAATGTACAAATATTAGGAAAATATTCACGGGCTGAGAGGAGAGCAGAGTGCCACTGAAGACTCAGCCTTTTGACTACATTACTGTTTTACATTACAACTTGTTTATTGTTTGTAATCCTCACACTTTCACTCCAACAGGGACTCATTGAAAGACTTGTTTTGAGATGCTGGCCTATGCCAGTTACTATTCAACATGCAAGCATAACCCTGTTGTAAATTTTATTCTACACCTAGTGTGGTAGAAAGACTATCACTTCATTCCCTGGTTTTATTTTAAAGCAGGTGGTTTGGTATTCAAAAGTCTGCTGAGTGTTTTTTTTTACGAGACTGGCTGGAATTTAACACAACACTGGGCAACACAGCCCTTTGTAGACTATACAGAGAATACACAAATTGTAATAATGCCAAGGTTTTTATCGTTATTTTGATAAATAACTCAAAATTGATTTCAGATGAGTTTTTGTAGTTTTAAAATTCACGAGGTCAAAATGCTTCATGAAATTATGTGAGAGTACTGATTAAAGCAGCCTGTTGCCTTAGAGTATCGCCATACATTTTATATTCAAGACGGACCTATAAAAATGCTAGAATTTATGAAGTATGACAAAAATGTTTTTTTTTTGCCATAATTATGTACAGTAATTCAAATTTTTGTTTTTTTTTAGTTTTATTCTATTGTTTCTGTGCTTTCTTTTCACTCAGACATATGTACTAATAGGGCCCCATTGTACAGATCCCTGTGAAGAGCAGGCTGAACTAGCTTCTTGTTGGGGGTGGTGACAGCAGAGGGTAGAGTGAAAAAATCTAATAACCTACTTTTATGATGAGATAACTTTCAACAGTACATATAAATAACATATTGTGGTTGGACTGCTGTTTGTAAAAATGAAAGACGTATATCTACATTTTGAATTTTTGTCACCCTTTCCAATTTTAATCTATTCTTCAAGTGGTTAAATTCCCAGACTAAACTTGGTCCTAATAAAAACTTTGCTCTAATGAAAGAAATAACTGTCTGTGAATATTCAGTCCAAATTAGGTGTTACCCTGAGCTTGTTTTTCAGAGATAAGTGTGATAAAGCAGACACTGTCCTTTTCAGAGAAGCCTTTATTTTTGCTTTTTGGTAATATCCAAAAAGCAACCACAAAAAAGTAATTTTGCAGTAATATCTTTTTATACAATCACCCACTTCATAAACTAGAAATGTTGAAGTTGTGAAAAAACATGGTTGTGCTTTGTCCTATCCCGGTTAGGGAATTTCTCAAAGACAAAAGCCTTTATGTGGGTTAGTTCCTCTACTATTTATCAAGATCGACTGAAAGTTTGGTTGAGTTAAAATTTTCATGATGGTGACCACGGTCCATAGGCTTCAAAAATAGACTACAGAAACCATTGGATGGTGTCTTGGATACATATGCAGTACATGTTCTCTGAAACTTAGAAATAAATGACTATATCTGCATCATTATTAACATCTTGTTTCAAGGTACTGACCTCTACCCAGGCCTCTGTAATGCAGTGTTGTGTTTTCATGATCCATGTAATACTTAGGATCACAACTCACAGAGCGACAAGCAGTCAGCTCTGCTTCCTTTGCAAGCTCCGATTGTGAAATGATTAATCAGCTTCTGTTCTGAACAGAACGTCTGTTTTTTTGTGTGTATTTTTTCCACCATTACATGTGCCAGCATGATAATATCTGAACACATTTCTATACATATGGAACATCCATTATTAGATGCGTTCCTATGGAAATGAAAACAGGAAACTTTGCCCTTGGAAATATGTCAATTTTCTGTGATTACAGGATGTGTTAGCAATGCAGCTGAATGTATTTAATGAGATGAATATATTTATTTAATGTTGTTTATTCGTCTGTTTATGCTAGAAATGAATGCAGTCATACATTCACTTTGCACAGCTCTTCAACAGAACGCTCTGTGTATATTTGCGACATTTGGCAGAACAGGTTTCTTGTATATTTGCAGTAAATATGACATGGAGTTACAGTTTGATTGTATTTTCTAGTTATAGGTGTTTTTGTTCTAAATCCCCTGCAAATCCCATAGTCATTTCTACATTTTGTTTTGCTATATTTTGTCATATCCATTCTTTCTACTGACACAGGCGTACTCCCTGTCAGCTAGTGCCTCCACATTGCTCAGGAGCTCAGTGAAGCTGGGTCTGTCTTCGGTGACATGTGCCATCAGCAGTGCATGACTGTGGAGAAATCTGTTGAGAGCTACAGGGCACTGTACTGAATGGTTCCCATTGATCTACATTTGCCTGACACTGTGACTGACAGAGCCAATCAGCCTATCATGGCCCTGGAGACGGACAGACACTCATTTACAGGTGAGATGGGTTAGGATGAGTTTGATTGATTGGCAGACTGTCACCAAGCCACTGGGGCATTTCAAAACCATCTCTGCACAGTGGGAGAGCAATATTATGTTGGCGTATGAGTGTGTATGTGTTTGCGAGTGCAGGTGGTCAGCCTTGTACAGATTACCCAGTGCACCTTGAGTGTGTTGACAGGTAAAGGATCAGGCTGTCAGATTGGCCCCGCCCACATCTTTAGAAACTGGTGACGGGGATAATGCCAGGAAAGAATCATATACAGTCTTTGCATGGATGCAGACCCATCAAAGTACACACATACACGCCTTCAAGATGTCTCTCTCATCTGCAGATGTATTTATATTAGATCTCTCTCTCTCTCTCTCTCTCCATCTCCTCCCTCTCTCCATCCTGTGGTGTAGTGTTGGATCCAGCAGTGCCATTACTCAAACACAGCTTGTCAGCACAGATAACAGTTGTTTGTTGTTTAACACTATACAGAGCGTTGCATTGCCAGTCAAAGTCTAAAAAAAAACAACATTCTTTATTCCCTCTATTTTTTTTTACATGATTTTACATTCAGCATATTCAAAGCTGGCTTGAACAGGCTTCATGTCTTACACCAGAAATTATTTTTCCTTTTTGTCATATCGCAAAAATCACAATTAATGGAGGGGAAATGTATTTCATGCGAAATGCTTCTTCAGCATATTTAGATATCAATCAAAGTACAGAGGAAGGGTGTCTTGAATAGCCTAATTTTGTTCATATATTAACCACCTGTTCCTCAGTCTATATTTCGTTTACAGTATGTCTTTGGTTTGGGGACCTGGATCTTTGTTCTGGTGGGAAGTCAGTGTGACATGGTTTTAAATCACCCTGTTATTCAGAGTGCAAATACTGCCCTCATGTGGCTGAGCTTTGTTTGTCAAGCAGAGACAACTGATGAACATACAAATTCCTACAACAGTTCCTAGAAAAACAGAAGGCGCAAAAAGTAGGTGTTAAAATGTGTAAGTCCTCAGCAATGAACCAGTTAATGCCCAGAGAGAGCTGAACCATCATATAATGAAAGTAATAATGCAGGTTTGTTGGCCACTAACATGCCCTTGTTTTGTATTTTTTATTCATATGATTTAAATTCGATTAAAGCTGATTGTGCTTGTGATTTTTTTGGTCTTTTTTCTTCATGTACCGCTGCCTTGATACCTTGTTTTTGTTTTGTATTTTTGACAGGAAGCTGTAATTTGTGTTTTTACTTTTATGATGAATTCTGTGACTAAAGGGGGACTTATTTTCTTTAGGAGTAGTGTATGTAAAAGAGGAAGTGTGAAAATTCTCCTACTGATCTGAAGAATGTAAAACTACAATCCAGGTATCCATGTCAATATGTTTTCATGCAATTTGTTTCCACTTCTTCAAGTAAAATGAATGTAGCCTTTATAACATTTACGTGGTGTTATAAAATTTATGTATTTTAATTATTTTTTTGTACCAACAACAGTTTACTGAACATCCAACCTTCTGGCCAATGGGAATAAGACTGCTGATTTCCTCCATCTTCCACTCAAGGAAACAGCGGCTTATCAAGTGCTGTTTTAAGTTTAATGATTTTATCCTTGATTGCTAAAAGAGTGGAAAAACACACACAGGCGACTCCGTTGTTACTCCATTGTCAGCTTGTCGAGGCTGCACTTGTTTTTCTTCTCTGTATATAATTGCATACCACCACCTGCTATGTTGAAGTATACATGCTTGTCAGTAAGTGCAGGAAAGCAGCATTTACTGGTTGTTTATACAAGATTGTATTTTCTGAATAATGTGTTTCACGAAATTGCTGAATGACACATTACTCCATGGTGACAAATTTTACAGATATTTTTGTCTGGGTTTTGGCGAGATCTCTGATAAATTCATAATGCAGGTTTCCATTAATGTGTAATGGGGACCCTGCAGCCCACACAATGAGAGACATTATTGATGAAAAGTCTCGGCTGAGCTGCATACTGCATGAATTGTTTGCAGTGTCTCTCTCTCTGGGTGGTCTGGTTCATCTACAAGGTTTCTTGGGAGAGGAAGCATGTGGTGTCACAGTTTCCTGTGTGATCTGACAGTACGCTTCAGTGTGTGAGCGTGTGTGTGTGTTATTGATGTGCTGTTGACGTGTTTCTCTGAGGGTCGTTACGCTCTTGTGGAGGCTGTTACTGGAACACACCTGTTGCTGCTGAAACTGCTCAAAAAAGTCTTCTGTTTGAAAAAAATCTGCATGAGGAGGATATAAAAGGCCTAGTTTATGATAAATATAGTCATTTATATACCTTTTAAAAGTCCTTTCTGCCCCCTGCATGTCTAATCTTAAACTCCTGTCTTTTTCTGCTGTTTTATTTTTATAGTGGCTGTTTTATTTTGTGGGAACACTCAGCAGAAACCAGACACCATCCTGGGACATATAACTGAATACTTGTGAAAAGTGGTGAACAAGCCAACAATTCCGATAATACTACACCGTATGGACCATTAGCCAACACGTCTGCTGACACCTTCTACCCCGCACATATGTGTATTCTCACCCGTATGTTATTCCTCATGTCCAGGCATCTGCAGACTGCTTTTCCTGCGCCCAGATGATTCTGGAACTCAGGCTGTTTTATCAAGTGCAAGAGTCCCTGAATGAGCTTCCCACCTTTGGTTTGGCAAATTACATTTCCTGCAAAATCCCTCTAGTAATAACCTCAGCGCCAGGAGGTGTGTTTAAACATAATAAATCGACAGTTAAAAGACGGGCAGACAGACAAAGGGAGGAAAGTATATAAGAGACAGCTCAGCTTCCCTACATTTAAAACAGAGTCTTTGAACACGTATAAGTTTGGAAACAGACGCAGGTTTTTATTTGTTTTTTCTGCAACCCTTACAATTTTAACTACAGTGTCAGCTTTAATCCAGCAGATGGCAGTAAAACACAATTGAGACAGCATTCATACTTCAATGTTAACTCAGGGTCACTTGGCTTTACATCCCTAATGTTATCAGGGGATGTTTTACTTAAGAGCTGAAACAGAAAATCTCATTCATGTCTGAGTATCTTCACCTAATGATAGAATTCAGTTACTTTGGAGTTTCTTTGTTTACTTTATATGAGCGTATGAATCCAAGCGCTCTCCACACATTCACAAAGCCATGCACGAGCCAACATTAACTCCCTCTAAAGCTTTACATTGAATATTTTCCTCTTAATTACCACCTTTGCTTAATTCTCAGAATGCACAAGGAGTAGGAGAAAAAAATCAATAATTGACATGGATGATGTCTTGCATTTCTCAATAATTTCTTGGAGTTTGCAGTGATTATCTTATCTTTCAAGAAAACATGTCATAACACTTTACTTTCCTGGGAAAAATAATGATGAAGAGAGGCTGTAGGTCAAAGGAGAGGGGGCTGTTTGTACAGACTGACATTTGGCACAGGCATACATAAACAAACAGCTCTGGTGATGACAAAAATTTCTGTTTTAACCAACTATTAAAAAACAAAATCTGACGGGTCAACTTTTGTTGATTTTAAAATTCCGGCAACATTTCTATCAGCTTAGTTAGAAAATGTAAGCTTGATTAAAGCTCCTGTGAGGAGTTTTTGATTGGTGATGAAACGGATTGATATAAGCAGTGAGACATCTATATGACGTTTGAATGCAAGTAAGACTTTCTTTCTTTATTGTAACTTTTAATGACTGTTACTGCTGTGAGGGTGCAGGGGCCTGTTCTACGAAGCAGGATTACTGCTTACCGAGGTAACTTCAAGGGTAAGTTTGGGGTTTCCTTTTCTACGACGTGGCCCTCTTCTCACTTCTTAGCGAGGTGAGTCTCCATGACAACGTACCCTTAAACGGCTAACCTGCTCCGGGCAGGTTAGGTTCCAGATTGATCTCGCCGAGTAGAAAAACCCTGCTCACGGACCAATGAGCTCTCTCAAAAAAAAAGGCGTTTCTGTTCTTGGAGGATCCTATAGACCTCGGTGCTCGCATTGTCCGAGGAGCACTCCGGCGCGAGAGAGTTTTCAGGGACTGCACGAACCCACTTACTTTTCCGGATGACCACCTTTATGAAAGGCTCATATGGCCGACATATCACACAAAAAATGTAAACACGATAGGAATGAACAAATGAATGAATTCATCTTGGAAATTAATTAGACGTGTCTGGTGCATGTTAAAAGCGCATGTTGAACAGTGCTATTTCAGGGTGATAATGGCATCAAGGATTTTTTGCGCTCTATACTTACGCATTGAGACTGTCGGCAATTTTCTGTTAGAATTCCTTCCGTGCTTTTTCAGCGGCGACGGTGTTGTTGCTTTTGAGGTTTATGATGATCTGAATTCTGCATTCTTTCTCATGATCGTCACCTGCTCCTCGTTTTTAAAGTATGTGGTCCTTCGCTCTCCTGCTCCGACGCTCCAGATTGGTCCATGTTCGCGATTGGTCAGATGCGGCGGGCTCAGCCTTACATGCGTGCACGCGCTCATAGCAAAGCTAGATCCAATTATGAGGTTGATAACCAGCGTCGTAAGACCGTTTAGCGAGACCGCTGGCTACCGCACTAAGTTGAGCAAGGTAGCTCCAAGGCTACCTCGCTAGGTCGAACTTGCTTCGTAGAATAGGCCCCAGGTATGCTAAAGAAACATCCTTTCTTATTTTTCCCACTACAAACATGAACAAGGTCCAGATAAAATCAACAACCGTACAAGAGTTATCATTTTGTCCACAGAGGGCGCCAAATCAGTCTCAGTGACTTTTCTAATGCCAAATATTTACAGTAGGTGAGAAATTTCACCCTAAAAAGTCAACAGGAGGATGTTTGTTTGTCAACTAACCCGACTCTTTATGAAGTCGGCAACAACATAAGAGTTACCACTTTGTCCACAGGGGGCACCAAAACCAATGCAGACAGAGAGTGCTTCACAGGAGCTTTAACAGTGCACTGTATGTATGTTTAAAGTAGTTTGTATTAAAAAGAATCAAAGAAAAAGCCTTTTGTATAAATAGATACAGCAGGTCCTCGCTCCAGGGGCTGACATGTTGCGCTGCCATGTTTTTTTTACAGTAACTCAGAGTTGACTAATGAGCAGGAAGTGAACATGTTTGGTCAATGACTGGGTTGCTACACAACATGCTGTGTAAGGGGAATGGAGAGAGCTGAGTGGGATTGATTGTTGTTTTTGATGTACTTATACTTATCACTGCAAAAGCACAATGAGATCCGGACAGGCGACAGCAGACAACAGGGGTGAGAATCAATGTTTCCTTTTATGATCCCTATGTTTGAAGAGGGACACCAAAATTGCCAGTTTCACGCTGGACAAGTAGGAGAACATTTATTCATTCAAACTAACATTAGTTTAAAGAACAATGAAGCCTGGATTATCTCAGTTAGGGCTGCTTTCAGAGATATTGCTAATATTTCATCAGAATGATAAGAGTCAACAGTGGGGTGATGTTGTGCCAATAACTCATCATTTATTCCTTTTCTCTGACAGTATCATGACTCATTGTACTCAAACTAACTAGAAAAGGCCAACAATTAGCCACATGATGCTGTTTTGAAAGGGGGTGCAGAGTCCTGATACTTCTAACAATGTGGTGCTGAGGCGACAAATCGTTAGGTACAATTAAATGAGACTCTCCATGTTCCTCATTCTGGCACAGGCTGATTGCTGCGGAACCAAAACTCTCAAAACATGATAACTTTATTCTCGTAATAGTATGGCTTTACTTTGACTTGATTTTTATCATAATATGCCTTTAATCTTGTAACATTACAACTGGATTTTAATACGGCTTTACTCTTAATCCTCTGAGGAAAATGTTGTTTTTCTTATCCTGTGGGAAAGTGACGTAAAAGAAAAATCTCATTTTATTATGTGACCATATATTTTGTTGTAGCTACGTAAGAAACAGTTGCTTTTTTTAAGCATTCCTTGTCTAATATCAGCTTCTATTACTAAACCAATAAACTACTCATTGTCAATATCTTAAAACTGACCTGAAAAACATCACCATCTAGGTATCTGAATTATGTTACATGCATCTGTTTTAGATGATGCCATCTTTATTCCGTTAATCCCTTTTGGTTCTCGAGGGCCACCGTTGCTTTAGTGAATTCTACAGACTGCACCTTTAAATAAGCTGCATTAAAATGTTACAGCATGTAGGCAATTAAGTTATGTTGTTTTCTTTGAGTTTACTTACTAAAATACCACATGGATAATGACAGTAAAAACACTTTACAAACTATGTAAATTATTTATTAACCCATTACAGCCAGCGCTTGAAATGAGCTGGAATGCTCTAGTGTGCAGTACAGCCACTTCTCTACTGAACCCCTTACCATACTGAGACTTTTCTGTCCTCTCCTTATCACAGTTTACGTGTTTATTTCAGGAGAAATTACCACCAAACTCTCTATTTACTAGAAAGAGTTCTCTTCTCAAGCACTTAACAGAGAAAACAAAGATGGGAAATTGATCTGTTAAGCTGTACAGCAGGATGAAAAATCTTTTGATTTAATAAATGTAGTGTTGGAATGAAACCTGCGTTTCTTCCTGGCTGGAGAAGAGCTTATCAGCAAAGCTTGTGTTTCCTGATAAAACTGAAACTCCTTTCCAATAATGCACAGAGGGGAGGAGGAGGGAAGCAGGAACAATCAGCCGATACAGAGGAAGATGCTTTGCTGCGCTGCAATTGGCTGCTTGAAAGTCGGCAGTCGGCCACAAATCAACACTTAACGTTCAGGAGGCTGGGGGATTCTGGGAAAGCATGTGACAACAGCAGGCAGCATAACAGCTTAAATAATCACGCCTAGATTTGCTGGATATTACAAGAACTGCTTGCCGGGCGGAAGATGCATAATCATGCTTCCAGGAAGGGAGCTGAGCTGAACGACTTCTGGCTGTGGTTGGATGTCATTACGCCAATTTCCACTTCTATTCATGATTGCATTATTACAATATCAGGCTCTCAGGGCACTCTGGGTTTGCACTGATTGGTTCTTGCTCTTACAGGACAGCTTCTTTAGTTGAAATCAGCTGGATGCTTTGTTAAATGTGTAGATCTGGGATGTTCTAGCAGGATAAGGGTGTGTTTTCAGTTGGGAGTTATACTCCACTTTGGCCAGCAGATGTCAGCACATACCTACTAGTCATGTCACTTGCTTGAGCTGAATCAGTAGCTGCTCCCTGGAACATGCCTTCATGTTTTCATTTTCAATCCACTTCACAGAGAAAACTGCTGTCATTGCATGTCCTTACATCAGGTTATGGATGCTACTTCTTAACTCCAGTTCTGAGCTGCAAATCAGTGTGTCAGTGAAGTTAGCAGATATTTCCAAGCCTACTTTTATGGGTTAATAATGGATTCAGCTCTAATGTCTTTCCCAGCCTTACTTCTTCCATCAAGTGTTGTGAAACACTTTCCTGGCTGCATGTTTTATTTTCAGTGTTCGTCTGAATCCTGATACCGCTAAATACGCCAGGATCAAAACATGACCTTTTACAGCATGTTCCGGGTTCTGCGCGTCATGTTGTATGACTGTTGTGACATGTCTTGCATTTGCCCTCGTGCAGCCTTTCACAACAACTCTCATACCTTCAATTAAGCTCTATACAGCACATGGAAAGGCCAGGGGGGGGAAAGATGAATCGTTTTGTCACATGCTGTCACCTGACTACGAAAGATGAGTGAGAGAACACAGGGTGCTGTTACAGTCTGTGTGATCGTTGCATGATTTAAAGCTGGTTCCACTCTCCTCTCTGCAAAGGGGGTCATGTGGTGTTGGTATGCCGATGGACACCAGCACCGTCCATTTCTGGAGGTATGGCATGTCTGGCTGTGACATCACTGTCCTGCTGACTGCATCGCTGATGAAGCGGCACAACTATGTTTGGAGATTTTTACGTTAGCTGCAACCAAGTAAGGGTGAAAAAATGGACATGCAGGGAAAGCAAAGTCTGGGTTTTTCCAACTAAAATTGTGGCCCCGCCTCCCAGTTAGAGATCTGTTCTTCCATGTAATAACCTATTGTCTAAAAACTCATGTAACATGTTCGTTTTTCCAGTCATGCTCTGAACAGGATCACCTTTCCTTCCTAAAGGGCAAACTCTTGAACACATCATGTGAACTATCTCTCCTGTTCCCTGTTTTGACTTTTTCTGCCAACTTCCTGATTTACTTTTACCCCAAACACCCAACCTAATATTTACACCCATACTCTTCGTCTGCCCCTCTGTCTTTTTGCCTGCAGATAAAAAACAATCTGATACTTATTTTTCCCTGTTTGGTAGCACATCCGTCAACTAAAGTTCTGCAATAGTACTGTTGGGAACAACCTTCACCAGGAGGCTAAAAAACCAATCTAACCTTAAAAAGGTCACTATGAAACAACATGAGCGCAGTTATCCCCGAGGTGGAACTCAGACAGTTGTCGTGACTTTTATGTCCTAAGCTGTTATACTTTGTACTCAGTAGAAACAGCACTGACTGTTCACTTGGGGCAGATGTAGGTCAGGAAGCTGGTATGAGGGAAACAGCACGTGAGTGACATACGACACATATTTCTGTGTCGTTTTGAACAAAACAGGAGAAGAAGAAGAAGGAGGAGGAGGAGGGGAAGAGTGAGCGTGAGAGATTCATGCAGGTTCTTCCAGTTTATCTATTCAACTTGGAGTATAATGAGATGGACATACTGTACACTGCAGAGAATTTAGCCCTACAGTAACAACAAGCAGAGGTATCAGACTTCAGTGTATTGTCAGGCTGTGCTGTATTGCATGCCATAAAACATTTCCCAGCATAGCTTTGCAGAGCTGACAGCTAAAAAGCACGCTAAACCCGCACAGAAAGGTCAGAGATTGCAGATATCTGAATCAAAGGGTAACTTTCTGAGTGTACCAATGTGTAGAAAGGAAAACAAAACGGCAGTCAGATTTTGATAATCAGTCACCTCTCAGTCCCTAGTGACCTTTTCTTGCAAAGTGGTGCCTCTTTTCGGTAAAGCAGGCCTGTTTTTCTTACATGCCTTTTGCCTTCAATAACCCAAATGTCACTCAAGGTCCCATAGGGGCATGCACCCTTTCACTGTGACATGATAAAACTCCCCCCAGCGTGTACCAAAAACTTTCACCTCCCCCTCACAGAGAGTGGGAAGCGCTCACTGACTCAGAGCTGACACTGGTGGACTTTCAGTTCTGTTTGCAGTTTACTCCACAGTGAAAAGAAGACCCCCGGTTATTTGAAGTTGCATACATGCACGGGTTTAGGAAACATGATAAACTTGCAAACAGTACATCCCTTTCATGTATCTCCTGTGTGGCGTGCATGCGTGCGGTAAAGAGAGGTGAACAGAGGTGGAGGGAGGTGAATGGAGGTGGAGGGTGAAAAGGAGGTAAACAAATGGAACAATGAAACACGGTGCAGGACATTCTGACCCAGAGTGAGGAGAAAGGAACAGAGTAAGGCTAGAGTAACACCATGTGTCTGCCTTAGCCCTTGGAACAGTGCCCCCATGCCAAGACTGTCAATAGATCACACAGTGGCACACATGGATACACACATGCAAAGACCAATACACACACTTACAGGCCTGTTACGTGCAAGCACTTACAAATACTTAAATAATCACTCACGCACACACTACTCAGTGTTGCACTGCTAATGATGTTCTCTGAAGAGAACAGGAAAGGGGATCAATAGCTATTAGAAAGCACTGTGAGGTTGTATTTCCCTCTCTTCCCTCTAATGTAAGCTGGCTATGATTTGTTTCAGTAAAAGTGCACAGCCATTTCTTTTCATCTGGTCACTTACTATTACAGTAACAACTAAATATTACCAGCAGTACATTTCCTATTCCTCTGTGACAGAGGGGTTATATTTGTTTTGTATTCCTGAGTGATGACAAAAAGGCTGCATACTATATTTAGACATTTTCACTGCAAAACCTCAAGATATTAATAGGAACACAGAAGCTACGTATATGACCATAATTTGATAGTTTGCAGTCATCAGGGATTACAGAGGAGTTTTCTTGTTCTGTGTTTGTGGACTTTGATGAGCTGAAGAAGACACTACTTGTCCCTTGGAGTTCACATTACTTTCTATGATTGCTTTTATAGGAGAGGATCTCAAAATAGCCCCATAGAGGAACAGGCTGTCTTTGAAACATGTGTCTGTAACACATGTTGGGAAAAAAACAATCTTTACAAGATGCCATGATGCTTTGACAAAAGGCATGAAAAATTGGATTTGGGTCAAAGAACATTGTGATATTTGTTCCTCTCAACATGGGCAGTTCTGCTATAATAATAACTGCAGCTGGCTATCTCTATTTGGCCAGGCTGTGATTTCAAATGTAGAACGGAGGCCTATTTAAAGGGTCATTGAAGCTGACTGCAGAGTGCTTTTGTGTGATGCTTGACATTTTATATACGTAGGAGTGCAACACGGGACATGCATCCCTGTCTGCCTCACATGGCAAGACAGGTCATGCATCTGTGTCTGCCTTAGATGTTATGTTCAATATCTGCAGCATGATGGGTCGGTGAATGTTGGCATGGACTGCTGAAAAGAAATCTTGGAACATGATTTGCATTCAGAGAAGTAACCAGTGCTGCAGAGATTTAATAGGAAAAACACTATGTGCATGCAAGAAAATCATGCAATTGCGTAAATACTTGTCTCTAGATATGGTAATGCACTACATTTCACAACAACATAGTAAATAATGAATGCTGTAATGAAAATGTAGCAAAATCAGTCATCAAATCACTGCAATCTTTGCCCTGTTTGCTTTGACTCAGCTTTCCTACCAACGATGCCATGTGTGCCGTTCTCTCTCTGTGTACACAGAGCCACCGTGTGTTCATAAACTTGGGGGAAACTCCAGCTTGCCACAGATGAGCAAAGTCTCCCATCAAACAGTCAAAATCTGATCACTGTGTGAGAAATGGCAGCTGCAAAACAGCAGCAGAGAAAAGGTTTAGCAGTCAGTGCTTACACATCAGTTTGAAAGTCTCTGTGTGTAAAAGCGGGTTTGTTTGGCATGCTCTGGTAACCCCCCACATTCAGAGAAAAAGCTAACCAGCTTTTGAAACTGTGCAAAAAAAAAAATTCTCCCCAGTTGCATAACATCTTCTTATGTGTCGCGTGTTTTGTGTAAGGCTTAGTCAGCTGTTAAAATTAAAAAACATCAGACTCCCAGTATGAAGAAACACATTCATGCTGCACTTTGAGGATGCTAGCTTCATGTATTGTGTAGCTTAGACAGAAAGCCTCCATCTCACTGTCTCTCTATTTGAAAAGCCACGTGTTGGTCTGTCATTAAAGGTCAGAGGTCAATCAGTAGCAGGTCGAGAAGTCAGCAGGTCAGAGGTAGGTCTCTGTGTTGTAATTGTGCCGTCCCTTGGGCTGTGTAAAAGGGACTAGACAGCTGTCCTGCCCCATAAAGATACATTAACCCTGCCCTGGCTAAGTGCAAACTGGGCCTATCTAGTCCATGAATGGCTGTTTAATGGCTGCAGACAGAGAGGACTGATGGACAGATGAAACATAGATTTGCCACTGCAGGATCTTGTGGGCTCTCTCTATGATTGTTGCAGCCTTAAATGCCCGATTTTGGTCATTTGTCATCACTTTTGGTTAATTTCTGTGTTGACTTTGAATAAAAAATATAAAAAGTTGATTACTACCTCACTGCAAACTCTACATGTTCTTTACAACCTCCTACTGGTATATGATAAAGTCTGTTTTGGGGGGATGACTTAGGGGAAGTTTTAACATCTTCTGGAAGAGTGCAGTTTGTGCAGCCCTCTCTAGAACTATCTATGATGTTTGCAACCCTGCTAGCTACCAGTACTGCACTGAGAACAGCCTGCAACCACATATCTGAGACTGCTGGTCACATGTTTGTCCAAGGCATGACTTTAGCTTGATTTTAAAACATAAAATACAACTATCTGTATCATCATGTTATTTAGGGTGACCATACCAGGATCAGGGTCCTCGTTTACATGGACATGTCCTCTTTTTTGGGGGCTGTCCAGGCTTGTCCGGCTTAGTCCAGGGAAGTTTATAAAATCCTTCAAATGTCTGCGGTTTTGTCTGTAAGTTTCGATTTTGTGTCACATGGACTTACTGAGTTAGAAGCATGTAAAAGACACTCAATCCGACCCGAAAAAACTCTTGAAATCAACTTTGTGCGACTCCGTGACTCCACCCCCACGTAGTTGTGTCCTCTTTTTGGAGATTCAGAATATGGTCACCCTAATGTTATTGTATGTACTCAGTTATAGGATGCAGCCCTTTTTTTAGATGAAAAAAGCATTAAAATTGGCTCTGAATCGTGGGGTAGATTAGTAACACAGCCTCTGGTTGGTGGAGAGCAGGGAGCATGTAGCTTCTGATTGGTCTTTGGCTTTACAAAATGCACCAGGAATGGCTAGGTTAAATATTTTTAACACAGAAATATGAATATAAAAAGGGTACGTAATGGATTTTAACTGCTGTGAATTTACTTTGAAAGTCTTAAAAAACAAACAGACTGTAGTTTAAGGCTGGATTAGGATGCCCCTATTTAATAGAGACTGGACCTGTCTGCTGTGATGCAGAAAAAAAGTATGTTTTTATTGTGCTGTGGTCCACTGATATTATTGACAGTAAAAAGTACTTTTAGATATTTTATAGAGCATACCTGAGAGTCAAAGAATTGAATTTGGCAGCAGAAATAACACTGCCAGGAGGAGAAACTTGGTGAGAAGATGTGGATTTCGACAAAACTGCAAATTTGCACAGAATATACTGAGATTGTTCTAATTTGACTCGACTTTTGCAACTGCTATTTAACAAGACAGACACTGTAAGATTTGACTGATAGAAAAAGTCACTCTGAAGCGTGGACTCATGAGCCTCTAGTGCCTTCGCTGTTTAATGATGCATCAAAAACAAGTACACTGAGCATTGTGCGTCTGTAAAGAGGTGGTTCTCTGTGTGGTGCAGCTGTTGCGTCTCCCCTGGGTGAAGAGGAGGGTAAAAGGGACAGAGGAGAGGGTCTCTGCCCTGCACTGTCTGTTTCATTGTACTGCTGCTCCTCTCATTCTCTGCCTACTTCTCAGGTTTCACAGCCCACACGCCTGAATCACACAGTCACCAATGATGTGCACACTCACTCTCGCACTCACACTCACACACTCATACACTTTCTACCCGCGGGGATGATTCACTGTTACCCCCCTCATTTCCCTGGGGAGCAGTGACTCAGGGTGAGAGGAGAGGAAGAAGAAAAGGACAGAATATAATAGGGCCCAGTAATAAGTGAGAAGAACATAGAGCGACTGGTTTGAGAGTGGTGTAAGGATGAGCAGTTTGGCCTTCAGTCCTTTGAGGAGGCAGCAGGCGCTCTGTGGAGCTCAACTTGTGCTGAACATGAGCTTCATGATGCACACTGCTGGTCTTAGTCACCACGGCAACTGTTATGCGGTGTTCAGCAGAGGGACATTTTCTGCAAACGACATTCAGCATTGTTCCAGAAGTGCAGCGCCCCCCTCAGCCCCCCTGATATTGTTTCAAAGATGTTCTCCTGTGAATAACAGATGCCCTTGGAGAGAGAATACTTCATTTTGGCTTCCAGGAATTAAATCAAGACACAATCACTGGAAATGAATGAGCTGAGATTGATTTACTTTTGAATCATTCGAAGGAAACACGGATAAAACAAAAGTGCAAAGACAAATAACTTTTAAAAGAAAGTGTAGTGCTTTCACTTATAAAACCAGAAGCAGTCTGGCCTGTGCTTTCTTCTTTCAGTGCACCTAAGAGACTTCAGCCTGAGTAGTTGAGTGACAGAGCTCTTATCAGCAGATCTGCTTACTGTGCTGCAATGTGCCAACGTGCAGGTCACACAAGCAGAACATGTAACCCACAAGAGAAGCCATGTTTCTGTGGATTCCCTGCTAGATAAGTCAAGGTATCAGAATTACTCTTCGAGGAAAATACCCAACTTTTCATTGGTAGAAAATCAAACCAGGCCAGCAGATTTCTTTGGAGTTTTATAACAACAGCCAAGCACAAAGGCAACCTATCAGAAAATGTTCTGACCTTTCGATCTCTTCATACTCTCTTTCTATTTCTCTGTCCTTTCACATGTGGTACAGTTATTGCTGTACAGGTCCACCCAATTTCTGAGAGAAGCTACTTCACTTTCTTGTCAAGTGGTCCTAATTGGTGCTGTTATGAGCAGTCAGTGTGTGACCTTACTTGTCTGAGAAGTGGGGTGAGTCAGAGTGCATTAAGAGCGGCATCTTAAAGTACGGCCTTACCACATGGTGTGGTGCTGAAAGAGAGAAGGAGAGAGAACCTCACCTCACAGCAGTCAGGCATATGACTCACGGCTCTTTCTCTCTGGGATGCTTTCAACCCTATGTGGGTGTGTGTGTGTGGGACTGTCAGTGTGTGGTAGTGTGTGGTGAGGATCGGCACCGGCTAATGTCATTTAGTTTCATGCAACAACAGTTTCAGCCTTAGCATGAATGCATGTAAGTTTTACAAACATACCCGTGTTTTATCACACATATAAATCTTATCAAGTAAGGTTTGAGTTACCAATTCCAAATGACATGTCGTAACCATCTTACTCAAATGAAAATAACCTCAAGCTGGGGCACCCATGATGTCTTGTTGTGAAGTGAATGCTGAGCAAAGTGGAGTTTCCTTCTGTGGAGGAATCCCCCCTGTGCAGCGACCTGGTTTCTGTCTGTTTCACCCACACACACCGCACTAACACACACCCACACATACAGTACTGCAGACAGTGCAAATGAAAAGGCTGATTTGTATATGTAGCTAGCACACACTGTAATAGTAATGTTAGGTCAGAGGAATACTACAGTTGTTACAATATAAAAACTAGTACTTGTATAGTACTATGTATAATGGCTGCCCCTTGCAGTTACTGTTTTGGAGTATCAAAGAGTAGCTACAAGGGAAATTTAATGATATATTAGCAATCAGTGTTTTCTAATCATCTGTTTTATGACTGAATACTAAGTGAAAAAAAGGTAAAATAACTGAATAAAGTTATGATTTATCAAAATAATCTACCATACTAATTGTAATATCGGTAACACCTTATTTGATGCCTTCCTCTAAAACACATGATAAATATATTTATAATGCATTCTAATCATGTTATAGCACTGTATAACTATAGTTATAAACACTCATAAATGATTATAATGATTTATAGCAATGATCATAACACATTATAAAGCATTTTATCATGACCTACAAGGTCAGGTATTATAATGTGTTATGATTATTGTCATAAAGCTTTATGAAAACTAATGAGTGTTTATAATGATAGTTATACAAGTTTATAAGCAAATTATAACACATCATAAATATATGTACAATGCATTATCTATGTGGGCATTGTCAGTGAGTTGTTAACAATTATAACACATTATAATACCTGACCTTGTAAGTCATGATAAAATGCTTTATAATATGTTATGATTATTGCTATAAAGCGTTATGATCATTTATGAGTGTTTATAACTATAGTTATACAGTGCTATAACGTGATTGTAATGCATTATACATACTTGTATAGTACTATTTATAATGGCTGCCCCCTCGCAGCTACTGTTTTAGAGAAACAAAGTAGCAAAGCAAAAAGTAGAAACTTTTATGTTTCATCAAAATAATCAACCATACTAACTGTAATATCAGTTATAAAGACCCAACGCTGATGCAACATGAACAAGTTCTCCACAATTTTTGTCAGCAGTGTAAAGAGAGAGCTTCTTTTCACAGGTAGAAACCTTGTGCAGAACCAGATTCATGTTTAATATCTATCTGCTGCAATGAGATGAGCCAAGAAAGTGAGATTGAGGTCGAGATAGAAAGTGAGAACTCAGCATAATAATTAGAAGTTTCCCCGTTTTCACAGTAAAAACCTCAAACCAGTGTCCTATTACCTTGATCACAGTGACATATTGGTGACTACGCAGCGACAGAGGGCCAAACAGACAGAGGTCATCATTGGCTTGACCCCTCTAATGGAGTATGGTGATCTCTGACCTTTGACCAGTCTGCTCAGCCCAGTCATGGCCCTTATTGACTCAGATCAAGAGTCAGCTCACACTTTGCTGGTCTGGGTCTGAAGGAAAAGTGAAAACTGGCTCTGGATCAGCGTCTGTGACCCTTTTAGACCCTCCTGCTCAGCAGTCCATGTGGCTTACAGGGAGGAGGAAGTGAGCGTAACGTGTGATTATTATCTGACTGACAGGAAACCCTTTTGTCTCCGGGGTTATCTGGCTGCTTGCAGAGGAGATGACGTGAACACCAGAGGACAGAGAGGCTTTTTCACCAGCCCTTTGGACCACAACCAGCAAAAGATGACTCCAAAACTGATGTCCCCCCTCTAGTCTACTGCTGAAGTTTACCTTAAATCCTGCAGGTCAAATCAACATGTAATTAAACCATACCAGCATGCACTCTTTTCCTCCCACTCTTTCATGTCTTGCCATCTCGTGTGTCCTTATTGTCCTGCTGCTTTTGTTGTTTTACACAGCATGTAAAATTTCACAGGAATCATGAGTAATGGGACCCCATGGTGCATAGACACAGTTACATGGTGGTCTGGCACACGCTCCACTTCTCTGTGTTCTCTGTTTACCTTTGTCATATCAGTGTGCGCTCAGTTTATAAAGCAAAAGATAGCAGAAGGGTAAATATTCTATAAATATAGAGGCTCTAAATCTGTCTGATATACACAGAGCTGGCCAAGTTGGTGCTCATAGCAAGGTTATGTCTTGACATCTCCAAATTTATTGGGGGTGCAAAATTTATGGGGATTTCTTATTAGGACTTCAGGAGAAAAGTCTGCTATTAATAGTCCAGTATCAGTTTTTCTGCCACAGAGTATCAGTTCACATGCCATAATGCAATATGAAGCCCAGGCCTGATTATAACCTTGATTATTATTATTCGTTATTGTAACTCTTTAACCTCACAGTTACCATTAAAATGTCTGACTAAAGTTTTTAATGGGAACATTGTAGTTTTTCCTTATTGTAAAGATATTAAACATTCTCGTGTACAGGTTCTGATTCTGAGTAATTCAAGATTCACTTCAGTGTCATTTTCCTTATAATTTGAATATCTAATAAAACAGGAACAAGGTGCTTTCCCTCAGCCTACATCAGTGTGTCAAGAAAACCGTGAAATATGTAAATAACTCACTCAATGATCAGGTTTAGTGCCATTAAGTCACCCTGCATGGGTTTTTAAGATACCCTAAAACCAGTGAAATATTTACATACCATAATGCTGCAACTTAAATCGGTATGCTAGGCTCAGATTTGGAGCAAATGATGCATGGTCTGATCCCCATCTCCTCATATCTGCTTACCCAATAATCCTAGGATAAGATATCCCACCCACATTCTGTCAGTGTGTGTTGCCTGATTAGCATAAAAAGTGTGTTTAAGGGCATAGAAGTGGACTCTGTTTGTTAGCATAATGGTGTAAAGTGCAGTTTGTATTTATAAGACCAGAATTACATTGTAATTGCACCTGATGCAATTCTTTGGAGTTGCATTAACAGCTTTCATTTTCAATAATATTTCACATTGAATTCATGATAAGCTGTATCACTGTATCCTTGTACTATGTGTAATACTCTGCAGAGGAAAAGCTGACTCACTCTCCAGTGCTCCCAGATCACATCGCTTACGCAATTTGATTTCCTCCTGAAACATCTCTTCATAAGCGGACCTCAGCACCCAGCGGCAGAATTACATTCACCACTCTGATACCGAAGATTTCGGCCTCTGAATAAGCAGCATTTGACGTGTTTTTCAGCTTCATTTGCATGGACTTCCCCCAAGAGACTCCTCAGAGACTCTGTTAAAAGTCAACCAGGTGGTTAAAAGAGGACAGCCTGCTTTTCTTCTGTAATATGAGGGACTTCTTGTTTACACATGTGCCCAGAGAAAAGGGCAGATTGTTTGTGTGGTGTGTCTGTGTGCAGGTGTTTCTCATGGGAGTTTTATGTTATGTCTGTTTGTGTCTGTCTGTGTGTGCGTGTTTGTGTGGGTGAGTGGGAGGGTTAGGGGGGGGGTTTTCTGGGTCTCTGAGCCTAATGGTTAGTCTCTCACTCCCCACACATGAGTTTGCAGGTGGCCCCCGTGTCGACCACAAACACACAGCCCTCGCACTGAATCAGAGCTGCACAGCACAACCTCTTTTCCAGCTGCAGGGTGGGCTATTTTGCAGACGCTTCATCCTCGAACTGCTGGTTCAGCCTCTCGTGCCAGACAGTGTCTGTCCTGCTAAAAGGTGAAGGGGAAACATAAAATCCTCACCAACACAAGGACAATTGTCTCTGATCTGTTTGCAAAGGAGATTTCCCTTTTAAAAAAAACATAAAGTATCAAGTTTATGCTTGCACAAATGAGCATGCACTCCTCTGTCTTTGTTGCTGTATTTGTCTGACTGCAGCCCTCAGGTCAGCTGCTCCTCTAAGCTAATGAAATAGAGCCTTAAGACTGCAGGAGAAGGGATCTGCTGACTTCTAAGAGATGCTCCTTTTTACCCATGATGCTGTGGCAGGTGGAAAGGCCCTCTAATCCAATTAGTAGAAGTTCTTCATCTAATCATCCAAGACAGAAGGTGATAGCTGGATAGAGAGGAACAAAGAGCAGGAAAAAAAATGGAGCCTTTGTAGGAAAGCACATGCTGTTCCCCCTTTTAACCAAAGTCATAAAAAGGCCTTTGAAAAAGAGGCAATCGCATAAACTCTCAATCTGTTTTTATACTGCAGCTCTGTGTATTCTCACATAGAGAGCTGCAGCTCTTCTGTTTCTATGTATTGCCTTTTTTTCATAAGCATTCCAGCAGCTTCCAGACAGCACAGGCCTCTGCTGTAAACAAGAATAGGTTGTGTAAGGTCTTACCCAGTCTGCTAAAAAAGGTTGCAGCAGGGCATAAACCCCGTGTGCACAGGCCCTTGAAATAAAAAGCTTTAGCAGTGCGGACAGCTGAGGGCACTTCATCACTGCAGCTTAGACTCGCTGCCCTCAGCCAGTCTCCCTGCAAGGGCTGCAAAATACATTTCCCCGTCACTGTTTTTACATGTTGCTTGCGTGTGTGTGGGTGCAGGAATGCGACATGAAACACTCCCTCTTGTGATCTTGTCTTTGCATATTATATCTCCACTTGAATCCCGTATGTCTGCCATGTGATTACATGTCTACAACACTCAATGTAGAACAAAGAAGCTTGTTTCTTGGGTCTCAGACAGTCTCCTTTTCTCCAAACAGGGTTAAAAAAAAACAAATCATGCTAATTGGTACGCTGTGTCTGTTTGTCCTTCATGTGACTGCGTTGTGTTCTTACTCTGTCTGGTTCGATTTGGGGACAGAGTGATGCTCAGGTGTCTGGCACATAGAGACCTGCTGCTGTAACTGACATTCATTCTTCACACACACCCGCAAACAGTCTGTTCACAAGTATACACACACAAAGGGAGGGGGGCAGACGCACACACCCTCTTGCAGATGGTTCACACACACCCACTGCTAAATTTTCATCCACATGCACATGTATTTCTGCTCTGGAGACGGACTCTGGTTAGAGTTACGCCGTCTCTGCAGGCTCAAAAGGTTTCATTGTGACAGGGGAGCTCGGCTGGTATCACAAATGAAAGGGTTTTCTCTAAAATTATGATGTTTCAGTGTCACTCAGTTCTTTAAAAATTAGTATGTTTCATATTCGATTCCAAGTCTCTTACTTTGTGGCCGTCTTTCTGTCTGAATCAAACTGTTCTCCACCCTCTAAAGGCTCCTGTAATCTGAGTCAGAGACAGACGAACACTCATAGGAGAATCTGTAAATGACACGGTGATCATATCTGAATGTTCTTGTAGCACAAAACCGAGTCTGAAAATTGGAAGAGGTGCAGACAGACTGTCATACAGCTAAATAGGTGATAACTGTCACAACATAAACCTGTTATTTTGCAAACTGCAGCCTCAAAAGCTGACAATTACAGCCCTGAGTTACAGGACATGCAGTCATAACTCAAAGTTTCTATTAGTATCTACAAATTACGAGATGTTCTGTCCACATTTAATACGATTGGCAGTTCTGACTGACTATTAAAAAATGCATTATTCAACAAATGGTAACCTCATGCTGCAGGACTTCTGCATAACCTCAATCACATGAGATTATTCCAGCACCAGCACTGAATCGATTACGCTCTGACAGGTTTAGACACTGCCTGATTTAGCAGCCCCGAGAGCCAGAGATGGAAACCACGAGATTTAGTTCGCCAAAAATAGAAGGCAGAGTCACTTTAAAAAGGAACTGGAGCTCCAAAAATAATCTTTCCAGACCGGGTTGGAATTAAGCTCCCAGGAAAAAAAGCTCAAAGCAAACGTAGACTCGTCTTAGGGGATATTTACCGCCCTGTCATCCACTTAAGGGAGCATGTATACCTCCCCCTGCTGCCCTACATTCATGCTGTGCTGGCTGTCCTCAGCCTTGCAGACAGATAATCTGAGGTATTCAGGTGAGAGGTAGCTATAAGATCTGGTTCTCTCTGGTCAATTCTAACTAAAGGCAGAAGTTAATCGTTACGTGTTGCTTGTACCTGAGTGCCTGCAGGTACCGTACATGAGTGTTCGTGCATGCGTAAGTGAGATGAGATTTGAAAGGTTAATCACATTAATCAGGTGTTCGAACGACTCCTTAGAAGCATCGGTTGTACTAGATCTTTCCACTTAAACACTGTTTGTTACGCATTTGTGTGCAATTTTATGCATGTGTGCTCTGTGCAAATCACATGCAAACAGCACATGCATGAACGTGTGCCCTCCCCTTGCACATCGGCTCAGCCCCATTCAATCATTTTACAGACCTTATGGCTTTTTCCATGACAATTTTAGTTCTAATTTGCACAATCCATGTTGTGAAATGGATCAGAGTTGGAGTAAATCCCAACAGCAGATCCACATGATGTACTTTTAGACTCTTGTCTCAGGTGAACAGTGCCTGAGTTTTACCTAAATTTAGGATATAATCTGGACACTGATGGAAAACAACCCCATGCTGACAGATTTATGGGTTTAAGACAGATCATGTTTTGGAGGACTGACTGATCATGGGTCAAAGTGTGATGCTTGTTAAGCCTGATATCTTCTGCTAGCGAAAGATGGTAAACAAGTCTAAGATTGACCAAATTTGATTTGTTTTTAACTCAATTTTAGTTTGAGCCATGGAGGAATGACATGTTACCAACACAATGTCCTCTTGATAAGAGTCTATTTTTAAGTCCACCGCACTTGTTTTCTTTCCAAGTCCTGTGATATGTGTGAAACTTTATAAAAACAAACAGAAGCATGAGAATAATTCTTCTCTGTTCCACAAGGAAACCTTTTATCTCGCAAAACTGCAAAGGAGCTAAGGAGAATTTCAAAGATCATGTTCCCACTATCTCTTTATTATGTCTCTTTCTGTTAGCCTCCATCATTTGCACCCTCTTTCTCCCTCATAGATACATGTATTGCTCCCCTCCAGTCAGGCGTACACAGTGGCTGTTTAGAGCGTCTCTCTTGTATCCTGCTGTTAATCCACTTCCCTTTAAAACACTTCCCTTTCCCTTCATAGATACACTCAGTGACATGCACACGCACTAACTCCTGCTAACGCACCAAACATGCACATACACCCTCGCACGCTCGCCCACACATTGCCTAAGGAGCAGAGCCACTAACCCAAACTTCCTACACACTTAGTATGAGTGTGTTTATGCGCTCGTTCATGTAGGCATGCGTCGGTGCTTTCACAATAGTTGCATCTCAAGTGATATTTTCTCTCCTTCATCTAACCCGCTGCTTTCTCACCCTGATGCCTTATGACTAATAGCCCTACCTGGGTTGCAAGAATTCATCTGAAATCTGCTTGCCTGGTACTTTCAATCACACGCTGCTAGAAAATACAAATGTGCTGCCCGAGTGAATCATGTGCAGGTCGCCTTCATCCTGCACACTCCGGATGTCTACGAATTGCAAGCCATTGCTCTATTTTCTGATTCCAATTGATCTGTCGCTCCTGTCTATTTCTGGTGACACAAATGCTTACCTTTTGTGTCTGCAGATGTAGGTCAAACAGAGCATTCGCATTGAATCTGCTTGATGGTAGAAGCAGGTCAGTCGAACAGTTATGCGTTGGCCCAGATATCTTAACCCATATCTCCTGTTTTATGTCAATGATGGGAAAATCGAGAAAAACAAAGAAATATAACGTGACGACCGGGATGTCAATGCTGTCTTCATCTCATAGAGCCAAAGATGGACCCAGGAACCGGGAGGATGTCATGCGTCATTGATAGGGGGTGGTGTTTAGCTTTGGCCATCAGCTCTTGTAGCAGGATTTTGAAACAGACTCAAATGTTTTTGCACACATTTACATGCAAACTTGATAAATAATATAGGATTTCTTATGTATAAATCATATCTTAAAGTGAGTGACAGAACAAGTTGTGAAACTTTTGATGAAACTTATATTTTTCCCATCATACAATCCTTCATCTGCAATCACCCCTGCAGTTAAAAGAGGGTTCAAAGTCTGAATCAAGACTAGGGCGATGAACTTCTTGAGAGATCAGCCAGCTCTGTTTCTACCATTTACAAAGCACTTGCAAAGTAAAACACTTGGATTTCTGTGCTGGCCCTGTAATACAGAGATGCAGTAATTATAGAGAAGAGGGGCTTTTAGATGCTGAATTGTCTTCAGAAGGCAGTTCAAAGGCAAGCCGTCACAGCTGCAGCCAGCGCTGAAGGCGCTAAATATGCAGTTGTTTGTTTATATGATAGATTAGATTTGGTGCAGTTGATTTTTGTAGTTTAACTTTTGCTGCGTGAGAAATAAATGCACTTACCTCTGAAAACTTCTTGTACAAGCTAGTAACTTCAACAATTTTACAGTACAGCCATGTGACCTTACTCTGAGAATTAAATCTGGCTTTACTGTTGACCCTGATATTGTTAAACACACTTAAGTCATTCTCACCACTGACAATTTTACCCTTTTAACCCATCCTGATGAAGTTTATCATCATCGCATTGTGGTTGTTTGTGCTGTGTTGTAACCTCTTTTTTGGTTAGATAGTGGCACACCTGCACAGCATGGCATGTGTTTGTTTGTTTGTTTTGCTCCCATAAACAGCACATGCAGATCATTTTCAGATGATGATATGTAGAGTCTTATGATAAGAAATATTTTTTTGTTGTTCAAATAGACTTCTTGCTGCCACTTGTTGTTTATACGCACTCTAGGGTCGAGCAGTAAAACAGCTTTTAATTTTTCCTTGTGTACCTCCTGCAAAAGCTTTTTCTCGCCACATAAAAGCATGTGGGCTTTATTTTTAGAGCAGGATTATACCTTGGACTAAACGTCACTGCTAATGAGGTCATGCATAGACATAACTGCATCTTTCCTAGACATTATGCTTACTGTCTGTCCACGTGCAAAACCAACATGTGCTCTGCAGGTTTGCGCTTTATCAGATCTGCAGGCTCCGGGTTTCTTTGAGCTTGCATCCTGAGATGAAGGTGAAAAAAAAACAGGGCGAAGAGAAGCGTCATTGTGAAAGTTGTGCTCCTCAGAGGGGGAAAATCATGTTGCTACATGAGCAGTTCTGAAAATGCTCTGCACTCAAAACAGTAGTGTTTGCAAATCCACGCTGATCAGCTGTTTCTTTATATAGATCTGCATGCAGTGATCTGAAGCTGAGTGCTGGGCTTTGTCTCAGATAACCGTTGAGAGGTGAGAGTAGAAAAGCAATTATTGATAAAGAGTGTGCTAACATGACATTTACGTGTGTGGAGCAGTGAAGGTTACTCAAGGCCTTTCCGTGTCACGGTATTCATGTTGTCAAAAGATGAGACCTAGACTGATATGACCCTACATCATACCTGTTTGCATATACGTAAGTAATAGCTGTGCATACACCCCTCAACTGCTTTGCATACATTCCTGAACTTACAGGGCAAGTGCATGTGGGGAACATAAACTGACTGAGAGGTGAAAAGTAAAGCTAAATATTAACCCAAGTGCAAAACTCTAGTAGAGGTTTTGGATACCTGGTTGTTTGCTTTATAGAAAAAGCTTTACATTAACCGTAGAACACTATCACTAAAATTTGTAACATCATCACTATCGCCGGGTGATTTTTACCTGAAATAATACACCCAAGAAAAAGTACTTGTCATCAAAATATATCAAAATAGGACAATACATGACAAATTAAAGTGGTTTTCTTTTATTTTTAACTGTGCAATGTCCAAGGGAAGGGACCACATAGAAATGCATCCAAATAACTGAAATAAGGCATTCATGAACAAAATATATACAAACTGTAAGCTTAGTTTCTTTTCCACCCATTCCTGGGGCATGTGAGTCTTTCTTGGTGGAGACTCAGGGTCCTTGGCACAATAACAGCTGGTTCAGGAGAGAGAACCAAAATACGGCATATTTTGAGTGAGTTAATGACCAGCTGAATAAAATATTTCTTATCACCACATGAATTCCCTTGAAATTCACTACTTTGTGATAGTTATTCATAACCACTGCACTAAATAAAGATGGCATGCAAATTCCAGGACCACTTGCCTACATGCAGCTATCAAATCCACACAAACCTACTTTACCCTCTGTGACTGTTGCCGGGTGAAAATCACCCTGTGAACACGTGCTTGTAGGAAAAAGCGGGTTTTGGATCAGGGAAACAAATATGCCTTCAAAGATGTCAAAGGCGATGCTGAAGCTACCCAGGAACCCATGATACTCAGACAAACGCAACATAATGAAAATCACATAAGCATGTTTGGTCGGGTGAAAATCACCCGGTGATAGTGTTCTAGGGTTAAAAAGAAGAAGGTCACTGTCAATTCCTGTAAGTTTCAAAAACTTCTCACAGGAGCTTTAACCTACTAAGAAGTTCTCTTGTCTGTGCCTGAAAAATAAAGGCATGTTAGCTGGCAATTAAGTGTTGAATCATTGTGCAACAAATTTTTATGTTTGTGTAGTATAATTACACCTTTTGTTTTTCTTCTCCACTTAAAAACAGAGCACCTTATTGGGAAAAAAAACATGTATCCACTGGGTTCCCTTATTCCACAAATACCCTTACTAAGCAACAAGCAGGTCTGTTTTGTTACTCACACTCTACCTCATTCGTGTCGTCACAAGCTTTAGTCCTGTTATAGACACAATAAAGACTCTGAGGAGCTATTTGTGCCGCCCGAGCTAAAAAAAGATTTTCTGTTCTAAAAATAGAGCGCAAAAACCATAAACAATAGGGGTAAGAGTCCTGTTATTACAGAGCTCAGGCTCCCTCAGCATTTCTAAGATTACAGGAGTTAGGAACAGGGGCAGACTGAGAGGCATTACTGTTGCTGACGTGGACATGTTGTCATAATGACTGTGCAGAAAGAAAATACTAGGAAACAATCTTCACCTGACCTTAAGTGCAGGAGGAAATCCAGCTACAATTGAGGTGTAAATTTACCATTGGAAGTGATTCAACTATGAGGGGGAGGTCTGTCTAAAAATAGCCACTGAGGCAACAATACCTGTCTGTAAAGTGTAAACCTGAGCTGGGTAAAAATCTAATCCAAGAAACTGGCTATTTATAGAATAAGGGGATTTCAAACAAGGAACAGACTTTCAGTTTTAAGGGCCTTTGTGTGTCTTTCTATTTTAAGTCAATGAATTCCTGTTTAATGACTCTATCCAATAGCCTGTCTTGCAGCCGCACCCACTTCCTGTTGACCATATTAACATAGCTATCATCCTTCTTTATCATGGCCTGCGTGGGACCATTTCTGCTTTAAATCGGCATCAAGGATTACCTGACCCTCTGGTCAATTTCCGAAGGTACAGTAGTAAATCTGGCACATAGCATTTTAAATGATCCTTCACATATCCTGTTTACAGAATATGAATTATTGCCCTCGGGGAGAAGATACAGAGCAAGCAGATACAAAAGCAATCACTACAAGCTCTCTTTCCTCCCAACATCCATCCACCTCTTGAACAAACTACCTGCAATATCTTAAAAGGTTCTTAATTCGCTGAGATATTATTCTCTATCTCTTTAGTATTCTTAAAATTCTTTTATTCTTTTATTGTTTTTAATTACTTATTTTGGTTCTTAGAACCTTAAATGTCACTCTGCACTTTATAAATATTCCTTATCAGTACTCATTTATCTGCCACTTTTGGTAGGCCTTTCTAAGTACAATTGAAACTTGTTTCTTCTCTGCAACTAGGGCTGTGCAATATCTTTGGTCTGGCTCTGAAAATGTACCCACTCGTGTGAAATGAGAAGATGATGTGATATGTCTGTTAATGCAGAACTGTCGACTGTCTGTATGTGTTTCTGGTTCGCGCATTATGCAATGCAGTTGTTTTTTAGCACTACTGACTGTCCACGACAAATTTCGCTGCGGGGACAATAAAGTTATATTGAATTGAATTGAATTGAAACTGTTGTTCTTATCTAGCATAAGGATGGCTGGAGGAGGCGGAATATATGACCTATACTGCAGCCCGTCAACAGAGGGTGCTGTTCTCGGAGTGGCTTCACCCAGCAAGGAGGCAGACGGCATCCATTCTATATACAGTCTATGTATTTGACCAATTTGAAACTTTGGACGCTGCTGAATAGAGGTGGGGCAAATATGAATGCTGCAACAGTCAACGCCCTGACTCATCTGATACAGACGTTGCATCACTGGTGTCAAATATCAATAGCTGAATTTGAAATAATAACTCAGTGCTATAAATAGATTGCTATTCCAGGTTGACTCACTGTGTCGCTACTTCATGATTCCTCATGGCAGTAATACTTTAGTCAATGTGATGTAATTTTACGATTGTCTTGAAGGATATCAGCTATCTCAGAACCACTGTGTAGGGATATTATAGCTATCATAGATAAGGAATATAGGGTATCGTGGTATTTCACAGTATCATACTGCACTGTACTGTATTGTGGCGCATTGTATCATGTTTTGTCATATTGCATCATAATGTATCATATAGTGTTGTGTCTTGTTTTCATGTATGGTATTGCATCATACCTACTCTGCTGTACAATATTATAAAGCTTTCCAAAAGGACAGTGACAGCAGCAGAAAATGATCACTATGTGGATATGTTATCTCAGTGTTTTCTCTATCAAACAAATGCTTAACTTTAGATCTTTTCGACTAATATCCACAATCAGCAGCCGAACTGCTTCTCTTTGTTTCCAGCTCAAGCTTATACCACTTGTGATCCTCTGGACTAGATATGATCATTTGAAGAGGCCCAAAATTAATACTTTTAAACAACTGCTCTGCCATAATCTTGTTCAATCCTGCATGTGTTTTTATGCTTATCCCCTCCCTCCATCATCCAATCAAAATCCTTGATTAATGAGTTCAAAGGATCCAGCATATGGATGGTCAGACCCACAAATACACAAGTCAGATTAAAATAAAGAAGCTAGAGCTGCTATTGTGGAGGCATTATTGCTCATTAAAGCATTTTTCTGTAGGGATTTCAGAGTTGGTGTTTGTCCAGAGAGGAAGGGGGGTGCCTACAGAATTATTAGTGGCCTCCAGATGTTCATGCTTTTGTCTGTTTGACCAGTGACAAAACAACTGTAAGGCCTTTCTTTCTGCAGGGAAGTGTGCTGCTTGAACTCTGTGACATTAAGGTTACTCTGTAATGTTTTTGGACAGGGAGTGATGGAGGAGGGTTCTGGGAGAAGGGGTGTGGGTGCCTTCCTTTAATTTGAAGTTACTTGAAGGAGTCAGTAGGCCAGTCCTGCTGCCTGAAGCCACTGGTCTTAGGTCAGGCTCAAGCCCTTTAAGCATGCATCCTTCAGTTTGTTGGCCTGTATTTTGCTGTGATCATATTCCAGCTAAAGCATGCCTATTAACTCTTTTACAAGGCATTGACAGCCTTTATACAAAGTGTATGACCAGATAACATGATTTCAAGATATAGAATTTCAAAGGTTAAAAGCCTCCTGTGATAATTGAATGACTCATTTCTAAACAGCAAACGATTGCAGTAGCGAGAGTTCACTGAGTACGGTGCCATCAGTCTAAACCACATCAAACAGTCATTCTTGTTTCTTTTTTTCTCTCACTATCTCATCTTTTTCTTCTCTTTTCCTTCTTTTCTTCTCTATGCTTCCACTGTCAAGAATACCTGTACCGCGTTCGCTTCTTTCATCCCACCCCCTAGATTTCTTCTTTACCCGTCTTGTGCCTCCCATATGCCACAATCATGTTGCCTCAGGGTGTGAACCTGTGTGCACTCTGAACACAGGGTGGAGGAAGGGGGAAGAAAAGAAGAGAGTGAGGCTAGATGGGGTGAGTTGTTTTGAAGAGCAAAGGTTGTTATTAGGTGCTTCATAATGTGTGGAAAAACTCAGCAGCTGTTGCAGCAAAGCGGAGTTAATGTCACTAAGGCATAAAAACAGCAATAATAAATTTGTTGTAAAAACAGAATGAGTAACCTTAACGCGGGTCAGATTATGGTTTTGCACAGAACATCGGTGTAAATCATGCAATATGCTACGTATAAAGTTCATAATACAGTATATCAAATCAAAGGATATCACATAAAGTATTGTAGAGGTCAGAGGATTGGAGAGGGTCAGTTTATTGAACACACAGACGAGTAAAAACCAGGTTAGTGTGTCAAGCACCACACCGCAGCCCTCCGTGTATCGAGGCAGCTCACTAAAAGGCCCCTCTTTTTAGCTGTGCGGCTGCTGGTATCTCACGTCTCATTAACTCTCAGCCAACAGGTGAGAGCACAGCTGCAAGAATCTGCATACATCTGTCACAGCAGAGTGGCCGGTCAGAGGCAGAGCGAGGGGAGGGCCTCGTAAGTGACACAGCTGTCCCTGCGAGCACATACTGTTGATGCATGTGGCAGATAGATGAATGTTTGCTGAGAGTGTCATATACGAAGAGTACCACACATACAGTTCTGGCCCTGGTGTCCAAATATATACTCACAATTTAACCTAAAGGGATATTCCGGCATAAAAGTAAGCTAGGGTCAAACATACCGTAACACCGAGTTAGACACCCCGTCAAGAGATGATTGTTGCCGACCGCTTGCTTCTCTAGTTATACCAACTTTAGTAACGACCGCAGGATAGCAATCCAGAGAGTCACACGCTCAACCTAAAAGCCTCTCTATAGCCACAAATAATGCTCAGAACAGCACCTAACTTCATCAACAGAACATATAGGGTCCCAGCCATAGTACTAGCCATCAAACATCTTTTTAACTTTGGCAAAGAGACTAAACACAACTCACCTACTCTCTTCCAGCAGCCGCTTGTTTGTACAGGCAAGCTCAGGCAAGTCCATTGACTGTGGCGGGGTCACGCAGCTCAAGGAAGAACATTTATGATCATTACTTTATAATTTCCTTGAAGTAATAATCATCATGTTAATCATTTTGCACTGCAGACACGGTAGTTCTTCTGCTTTGGCGTCTCTGTCTGATTGCATTTCCATGAAGAAATGATCATAAATGTTCTTCCTTGAGATGCACCACCCCACTGCAGTTGATGGACTCACCCGGATCATTTCCTCAATTTTACGCTGGAATATCCCTTTAAGGGTGTTGATTTTAGGTTTTTAGTAAATTCTTTATAATGTAACAATTAAAAAAGAGGAGAATGAGACTTGTGATTGTCTGAACTTTTCAAGTCCTATTAAAGCAACAGAAGTGAAAAATGTCATTATGTTTACTACTTGAACTACTTTTATTACTGTTTTATCATTCCTAGCATTCCACTCTTTCTCCTTATTGTAATAAAGTTACCTCTACTGACACACTGCCTAAAGGAGTGCCTCAAACACACAATAACAAATGACGGGGTTTGATGGCGTCATGAAAAAGCACGAAATTATGCGGGCTGTTGTCTCCGTTGTTAAACCACTACTGTTGGTGTGATTCAGGCTGGAAACATGCACACAGACAAGAGAGCTGATGGAGGTTTTATGCATGTGACGTTAAGTCGCAAATGTCAATGTTGTGTTGTTTTGGTCTAACGCATCAGCAGTATTTTTAGAAACATTAGCAGGTTATTGACCTCTTTGATCCCTTGCTGGTATGCTGTATAGTCTAATGTTTTAAATTCTTCACCCACAGAGTATCTAGCTTGTAGAAACTAGAAAAAGCTTCACAGTTGGATCTACACTACATGTTGTGGACTTAGTTAAAAGTTAGGAAGGATTTTACACAAATTGAACCCTTTAATCCTCTCTTAAATACCCCAAAATCAACTGCATTTTACACACATATATTCCTGATTTTCTGCTGCGTTTACATTGTAGTTTAAAAGCGCACACATTTACGCACACAATATAAAATCCCCTGCAGCTAGCTCTCCACACATCCCACCAGCGCTGTTTCTGGAGTCCCCATGTTCAGGCTGATAAGTGAGGCCTAACGGTACCACTTCCTTCTCCACCGTGATTAATGGCTCACTATCAGGCACTGCGAGCTGCTACAGCAGAACGTGCAGGTCAGGGGTCAGGGGAGGAGAGATAACCACCTGCTGGAGCAGTTTGGAGCCCCTACATTTATCACCACAGCCGGGTATGTTGACGTGAGTGGTAGTCGTCAGGAAATTTTGTGAAGGTTGTCTTTGTTCCTGCCGTGGAAAACAAGCTAACAGATGTTTCAGCTGAGCTTCAACTACCTGGAAACATCATGGAAACAAAGGCAGGCTTTGAAACAAGACGTTAGCTGCACCAAGTTGGTGTAACAAGACAGTCAGCAAAGGGCTCTTACACCACTATGGATGAGGTCGACAGACGAAAAATCAGCCACTCCTTTAGCAAGTTTGCTGAGTAATTAGCAACCACTGTGTTATGCAGGGGTGTTTTTTTTCAGGATGTGTGTTTACAGATACCTGCTGGTGCTTCATCTGCGTTAACAACCACCCTTACCTTTGGCGGCCCCACCCATTCAGTCAGCATTACAGCTGAGGTGACACCTTTCCAACAATGATCATGGAGCACCCGCCCAGGCAAACACAAAAAGTGAGTTAAGGAAAGAAGTCAGAAGTGTAGAGATTAGAAAGCTATTTCTGAGGCACTCCTGGGGTGAGCAGACAAAGACCAGGAGAGCTTCCACCTTGTTAATACAAATCACAAAACGTAAGCCTCCCAGTTTAATTCAAATACCCTCATAGCTAATCTCCTGCTTTGGTTAAACTGCCAATTCTAGTGCTGCAGCTGAAACCATCGCAGAACTGTTTATTGTGTCTTTCTAAAGAAGTGATTACAGTCTTTTTAAATACTGAACCTCCGCACACCTGCATTCTGCGCAGATACACTGTGTACAAGCTGCAAATCATTTTATTATATAATAGTCCTAAGAGGGCGTGTAATTTCACAGCTATGAGACGGTGATGACAGACCTCTCATAGAAGTTCAAAAACCCGTAAGAAGTCTTGGCAGTGATACTGAGGGCTAAAAAAAAATCATTTGTGGAAACTTTTGAGACAACAAGTTCTCCTGAAATAGCAGCTTCAATGAAAAATAACAAAAAGAAATGAGAGCCTTGGTTAGGAGCTGTTATTTTTGAGGATTTAATTTGATGGAAATGGAGAGAGCTTGGCAGATTTTAAGTTTGAGCCAATCATGAGACACACTGACTGCTAGAGCTGCCTTGTGCATGATTCTCAAGTAATAAGAATCTGCCCTGAAAGCCAAAGACACAACTAATTCATTGCATTAATGCACTGCAAGACCTTTATTTTCCGACAAAACCTGTAAAATTATAACATTTTGCCTCTTTTTTATGCATAAAAAACCTTAAATGTCAGAGAGAAATGTGTACAACTGTCTTAATCTGAGTGACTTTAAGGGACCTGTCTCGCAGTCTGCCATTAAACTCACAAAAGTACGTCCACGCAACTACATTTAGTCCTGTTAATCCCCCGGGGTGTGTGTTAACAAAGGTAATGAGCCACTTATCACATAGTTAGTTGAGGATTAATTACCTGGTCAGTGTTACTCAAACAGGACACCCTGAAGACACCCTGAGGGCTGTCTGCACCACACACTTGTCTGTAATGCTGCATGCTGCTCTGAAGCTCATTATACTGCGAGTGGGAGCGCAGGGACAGTTCACATACACACACACACACACACACACACACACATGCACAGTACACACTGAGCCTGTACTGCAGAGAAATGATTGAGTGTTTTTAGCTAAGAAGCTTTACTGCAAAAGGGATTCACTGCTATGACCAAAAACTGATCCGAATGTGAGAAGTGTTGCAGGGGTTTACTGAAAACTGTGACCCTGCATGAGTGGTAAGAACTGAGGATCCAGGCCAGGCCTCAAGACTCCTGCATTTTTCATAACTACAGAGAAAGAGAGAGAGAGAGAGACACGCACACAGAGAGCAATTGACTCACAGCACTCTCAGTCCTGACACTTTCTGCAGACTGTACACAGCTGTCTCTGCAGTAAGCAGGCTTTTTTTTTGGGATAATCTTCCTCTAAATGGGAATTTGAAATGTGACTACATAAATCTGCTAGTTTTCAAAGCCCTGGAGTGTTCATTATGTTGCACGCAGAGTACAAGTAGCTTTTCTCTCTGCTTCCAAGGGCTCTTTGATTATGAAGGAGTCTCCTCAGGAATGTTATGCTAAACTCTGCGCTGCAGACGTCAGGACTTTGAGGTTGTGGATGCATACCACTAATGCCATTCATTTTACTCTGCACACATGTCCAGTGAGCGAGAGAGAAAGAGAGAGAGAGGGAGAAAGAGAGAGAGAGAGAGCAGTGAGGGAATCCCCATGGGGCCTTCTCTTTTTCTCTTTTGGTGAGCACTAAACGCTTAACAGAACAGCTGCAGACACAAGTGTGTGATGTTGGGAAAACCTGCTGCAGAACATCAAACCACCCAAAAAGCCATCTGAGTCTGACCAAAGAGAAATAAACTCGACTTCAATAGAGCCTGTGTTGGCTTTCTGGCTTCTTTTTTTCTATGTTTGATGTCTTACTTTTCTTTAAAGGCTATGATCAGACCTGCATCAAATACTACACTTTAATAGTGCAGACACTTAGGCTGCAGTAAACAGTGGAGACAGTGGTGAGAAGTAATCAAGTACAAAGACTAAACAGATAAACTACCCCTGATGGCTGACACGTATAAGATTACGTGTATTGTTTTACAGTTGTTGAGCTTATGCACACCTGATAATAGGAAAGGCTGGGATTTATTGAGTAAAGATGCGTTCATTACTCACCATACTCGTGATTCTGACTGAAATCAACCCAAAGATCATCTCTGACCCTTTAGTATGTCAAACCAGAGCACTTCTGTGCATGCCATAATGTTGTTTCATGTTTATGTCCTTTGGGCTGGAAATTTTATGAGACTGGCATCAAAGTCCAAATGTTTGTGGTAAAACTTCACTGACATTATTGTTGATCAGACTGTAAATGTGTATACACATCACATCATGCAGGGCAGACGAGGATACACACACAAATTACTGGCATGTTCACGATCATCCTTGGTCTTTTACCTTGTGATGAGGTGGGTCGCCAGGTACTGTGAGTGCTGGGATTTTGTTATTACTTGCTTTTCTGATGCTGATGCCAGCTGAAACCACTGCGTAGTATTCCTTTAAGACGTCCTCCCCGTGGATTAAAAGTGTTTGAACCCAAGAACATTTGTTTTCCTTTGAAGACACAAATTTTGTGAGGTGCAATCTTGTTAACCTACACACCAGTGATGCCAGTTTGGTATTGGTTTTTCAGGAACAATAGTGGTCATCAGTCGTTAATGAGAGTGATACTCCCTGGAACCAATTTATATTCAAAGTTAAAATTACAATCTTTCTATCAAAATGTGCAATTTGTAATATAAACACTAGAGCAAATGCTGTTAAAATACCTTCAGGAAATTTTGAATCAAAACATTAAATGAAACATTGAGTGAAAACAGACTCAGAATTAAAGACAAACTGCCATCTAGGCTGAAGTAGTACAAACTTTAAAGCTACTGTAAGGATTTTTTCCATGTTTATGAAATACAGTTAAATTCGTGTTGATGACTTTTTTATAACAAACAAAAGCAAATAAGACCATCAGCAACAGGACTGACAGTTTTTATACAGTTATTTGTAATACCCTACATTACTGGGGGGGTCTACTAGGTAGCTAAAGAAATGCCCCTGTTTTCACACTTTACACACGTTCACAGTAAATGATATATTTGACTGTAAAAAGTCAGCAGGATGAAATTTTCTGTCATAAGACACCTCTAAGCATGTGACAGATGAGATGAGCCACAATTGTCACAAACCCAAAGTTCCTCACAAGAGCTTTAATTTATCAATTTTATTGATAATCAGTAAACTAAAATAATGATGTAATCAACCAATGATATGTTATCAATCAATAAAAAGCCACCAGGTTGTTATTTGTGTAAGCAGCACCCCTTCTTTTGACTTTGGATTTCTGTAATTGGTCTAGTATTTTCAAAATGAGGTGCCACTTCTTTGTCATTAACACTGAACTGTTAAACAGTAATCAAACTTTTGTCATCTTCGTATAAACTTTGCCAAGTGTTTTAATTTGACATATTTTTGATTAACATTGTATAGTTTTGTTTGCAGGCTGACTTGCCAGCAGGTTACTGGTTGGTGGTAAGGACTGTTAACCTTAAGCTGCTGCATGTGTTAATCTCCATACATTCATTATCTCCCCCTCTTTGTTGTTTGTAAGATTACAATGGAAAAAAACAACAAGGTACTTGTTCATCCCGTATTACAACCAAGCCCTGTTTCCTTCCAAACCTAGGAGATTTAGAGGAACAAAGGGAAATCAGGGGGATAAAACAACAACTTCTTAACGCAGAGACAGTGGTTTTACCGATAGGATTCCCTACTTAGCTGATTTTACCTAAGTGTTATCATCGAAAAAAACACAGTGGAAGAAAAAGCAATCCCATTGTTCTGAATCGGATGTTTACCATGATGTGATCTGCTGCTTCCATATGGTGATCTCTAAATGGTGTCTCCCCCTCAAAGTGTTGGGATTGTAATCCCTCAATGTCAGATTAGTAAATGCTTAAATTCCTTCTGCTATTTATTACCAACATATTCCTGGTTAAGGGGTGCAACGGCGAAGTGGATATGAAAGAAAAATGAGAGCAATAAAGACAAAAATATGAGAAACTGGAGATGGAAATTAGTAATAGCAGAAATATTGGATAAGTGGGAATATTAAAGATATCTGGAGCTGTTAGAGAAGATAGATGGAGAGTAGACAGATTGTACTATGAAGGCAGAAATCTGAATGAAACGTGTGATTCATGAGTGGAGGTGGATGTTCGAGGTCAGTGTGCGCGTGTGAAAAGTGAATAATAATAGGTCAGAAGGTGGGAATAAAGAATCAGTGTGACAATATAGAAGATCAGACAATCTTCCTTCTATGACAATGACTTGAAAGTCACATAAAAAGTACAAGTGGTTTATAACTAACACTGATAATTTGATCTCCTTACTCTTATCTATGCATGTTAAAACTGTCCACTCAAATACACACCTCTGACTTTTCCAAATTCTTTCATACTCATAAACACGCTGAGACTGACACGCACATACATAAATCCTCAGGGGGGGTAGTTCGGCCGCAGCCTCATGCTGTGATAAACATCCCAGGGGGATTTCAGTCACACTGATCCTCTGAGATTGCGTATGTGTCAATATGTAAACATGTGTATCTGGATATATTGCTCTGTTTTTGTTTTCAGGGATGTACTGTCTTCCATCATGTGGCTTTTGATGTGGCGGCGGTGTTGTTGACGTCCACATGGTTACGCTGTGGCCTTTTGAGGGCTGAATTCATTAAAGGATTGTTTGACCATGAAACAGTGAAGCAGGATTATGACAAAGCTCAGAGTGTATAAAATAAAACCTCAATAATAAACACGTGAGGTGCTTGTACAGTACCAGTTTTTCATATAACTACATACTTAGGTCTTTTTTACTGTAGGGTGTGTTATCATTTATGAATTAAACAATGAAATTGCAAAGAAATGAGTTAGGCCATGCATTTTGCCTCTGTTCATGTATTACCTTTTTCCTATTGGTGCATATTCCTCTGCATGATGGCAGGTTCCACTAACAGTCCTTCAACAGAGTTAGGAGTGTTAGTTACTGTTAAAGAGAAAATTTGTGTTGGATGTAGGGCTGGGTGATAAAATGATAAAGATATATATCGAAAATTAATTTCCCTCAATATCAATACAAAACATGGTCAATATCCCATTCGATGGTCTGCATTCTACCATGTTTTGGTCGACTATACAAATGGCCAATGAAAAGGGGAGTTGCTCTGGGTCCACTTAGCGCTGAATCAGAACAAAGTAGCAAACAACAGCGTAGTAGCAGGCTGCAGCTACACGCAAACATAGCACTTTAACATGTGAAACCAACAGCACTCAACAGATGATGACATCGTCGACAAGACCGGCACGAAACACTGGTGGTGTGGAGGTATTTTGTTGCTGGGGGTCGGACATTAAGCAGAGTAATTTGAACTGCAAATTATGTCGAGAGTATGTTCTCGCAAAGTCGGTAATACTTCAAATCTTTTTCACCACCTGAAGCAGAGCCACAAAAAACCCAGAGCACAGCAAGGAGCCCATGGCACCTGTGCAGCCGAAAAAGCCGACCTCAGCGCCTTACAACAAAACATTCAAGAGACACAAAGACCTCACAGATGCAGTAGCTTATTGTATTGCAAAAGACATGCTACCAATAAGCACTGTTAAATTTCATTTTTTGCATCATGATATATATATTGATATCCAATGATATGAAAAAAATATATCTTGATAATCTTTTCCCCATATCGCCCAGCCCTAGTTGTATATCTAAAAATCTCAATGAAAAATTTTATGATCCAAGCTTTTTTTGTCCAGAATGTTTTCATGCTTTTACTTTTTTTTTTTGCATTGATGTTTTTGAGAGAAGTTAACTCAGATGAAGTGCTCATACATTCATAGATTGCATTTTTTTGTTTTTTTCTCCACCCTACTTTCACGTGTTGCACTTACTAACACCTTGTGATGAAGCATGTCGAAGCAAACATCCACATGCTCATTAGTAGGTGTGATCACAGACAGCCTGTCGGCTTTGCAGAAAGCATACGTGAAAGAATCCATGGCTGCGTCCTCAGATCACCTTAAATAATCTCTCCTCATGTGACCCAGATTACATCGATCTCCATAGGCTTGTGGTTGGAGCGCGGCTGATCCTACAGTCCAGATTCTGCTGGTACTATGCTGCACTGTGCACCAGGCATACAAAGAGGGCCTTGTGCTGATGCAACAAAAGGCAACAGAGGACATCAAACACATCTGCAAGAAGGAACACCCCCACTGGAGGCCAGAGGCAAACCCCCTCTGCGTGTATGAGTGTGTGTTTGTGCATGTGCACTGATGGATTTATGTGTGTGCTTGTGTGTTTGTCTGTGCATGGCTGCTAATGATACATGAGTTTGTGCGACTTTGTTTTATGCTTTTCCAGTCAGCTCTGCACCCAGTGTCCCTGTTTGTGTGTGCGTGCATGCGTGTGTGTTAAGGCCCCACAGAGCGGTTTAATGCGTCCTCTGGATAATCAGCTGGTGAAGGTCCTGATTAGCAGTGAAACAGCGTCAACGTTGCTTGGCTTCAGCTGCCAGGTTATGGCCTTTTCTACGTCAGAGAGCAGATACTCAAGACCTGAAGACTGCCAGATCTCAAGGCTGTTTGGTGGGAGTCCAGTGCGAGGAGTGGACCTTGCTAACAGTTGAAAGTGTGCAGGGGGTAAGAGGGACCCTCCTCCAAGAACGAGAAATTACACCCCCCACACATGCAGAGTTTGTATGCTTTCAAGGTTTCTCACAATCCTGCCAACTCTCTCCTCCTCTTCTCCCTCCTTCTTTTCTTCATACTTCCCCACCTCCTTTATTCTCTTCTGAAGAGCCACAGAAAACAAAAGCCTTCTTGGAAAAAGATTGCATAATAACAGCATATCCAATCATACTACTGTATAAAAGCAATATAGTTCTGAGTGAGTCAGAGTAACATCAGAATCTATGTGTCCTCGTCCTTGTGCCTACATTGCTGTCGTATGTGGTAACAGGACTAATGACAGCACATGACAGTCATGTTAAGCAGGTGCTTGTGGACACTGGTAGTCACAATGCAGAGGCTGAGCTGTCCTGTGGTGTATAGGCTGTGTGGTTCAGTGGTATGACAGCAGGATGAGGCAGCATGTAGTGTGCAGTGGTCATAACAAAGGGATAAGAGGAGGGAAGTAGGAGGTTTAGAGGGGGTGAAGTAGGAGTAGTGCTGTTTTTGTGAGTTTATTTTTGATATTACTTGAATTTTGTATTTGGATATGATATTAAGTTTAGTAATTCAGAAACAGACGAATGAGTTTGGGGCTTTTTATGATTTTAACCATTTGCCCAGAGTAAAATAAACCCATTGATGCTGTGTTTAAGGACTCATCTATGCTCTTTGTATACAAATGTGGATGGGGCCTGTCATTGTATCACAATACCATAGTAACAATGTGATGCTTTTATTTTCATATGTCTGCCATCTTGCATTTAGGTTGGTTATTTCCTGTGTTGTAAAACCATGCTTTTATTTTGAGTTTGAAATACATACACTAACCTCAGTACATAAAATGTAATGGTACTAAATAAAGAGATAAAACAAATGAATGTAAAGTATAAATGTTCAAGCCAATCAGAGGCACAAACCAATTAATCTTGGAACAAAGTATCCAACCAAGAGGCTCCCTATTGGCTTAAAAAATAAAGGGCAGAGCTAAAAACTGCAGTTGAGTCTGGTCCTTGCCAAGGTTTCTGCCTGTTAAAAGGAAGTTTTTCCTTGCCACTGTCACTCATGTTAGATGAGGTGGGTCAAATCTGTCCCATCTTAAGGTTGGGTCTTGACGGGCTAATGGGCCCTCTTGCCTGAGGGCCCATTAGATGCTAGCCACAGAAGCCCGAGGAAACCAAGTTGACCACACCAAAAGAAAAAATTAACATGGTTACCGTCTAGTTGGATAAAACAGTTTTACTCTGAGTAGCTAAGGCTAAGACAGGTTAACCAACAGCTAGGTTAAGTCAGCATTTTCAATATGGTTGATATGATTGATGCTTCGCCAAGTCATTATTCAGTCTGTGTATCTGCTAGCTTTAGATTTAGCTGTTGTTCTGTAAACTTTCTGGAAGCTTGTAGACATATGTTGACCCGAATGACCGAATATTTGGAGGATGATTGTGTGAGTAAGCTAGAAGCTAAATACCCAAATATGATGTTACCTCGCCTGGGCTCAGGGACTGGTAACTACCACAGAGCAGCTGAGTGTAGATCAGACAGGGACCGAATATTAGCCTGGTGACAGCAAAGGAAACGGTAAAATCCACATAAGACAGATTTTTGTTGAGCGCCCTCTCGAGGATGCCTTTTTTTTTAATTATTCATTCCAACAATGAGAAGAAGTATGTTCATAGTGACAGACAGTTATATTGTTTAAAAAAGGGAATTAATAAACTGTAAGACTCCTTTTCTATTTAGGACCACAAACAGGCGAAAAACTCAGAGCACTGAGATAAACAGGGTCTCACACAAAAAGGTTCCAGCTTAGGTTAATGGCAGGAATGTGTGATCTAAAAATGTGGAATGGAAACAACATGCATTGCTTCAAAAACAACACAAAGACATAACTAAATCCATGGGACTGTGCCACACATGGGAAAAATAACAAAACTCCCTACAGCTATTTTTATTGCATGTTTATTTCCTCCTCTGGCAGAATCGCTGGAAATATCGAGCAGCAACATGCTGCCATTATTCATAGCCAAGAGGTTCAAAAATAGATGCAGTATTTGGAGAGCTGCTGAGTCACTGTATCTTCACATGTACCTGCTACATGTGTCTGTTTCCAATGTTAACAGACTCCATCATTCACAAATCGGTCGTGCTGTAAGCCTGATAACAGCAATCTCATTTAGAAAACTATTTCAGTGGCTAAACTGTATTCATAGTTTTGGAGAAACACAAGCTGACAACAAAGTGCTGTTAGAAAAATGAGTCAAGCAGTAGGTTTAGCCTGGTGTCCAAATCCGCACAAGCAGACGTTTATGAATCAGCATTTCACTGGCAACAGACGTTCATTCAAAATATAGTTACAGTTTACATTTACAGTTTATGAATGACTAGATCAAAACACCATTTTTACGGTAATATGCTTCAAATCTGCTCAAATACATTGGTGTTTAAGCAACGTAAATAAACTTTTTGTTACAGCAAGGGAAAAAAAATCAACTTAGTGGACTGTGAGCATAACTGTTGGGGGCCAACTCATGTGGGTGCTGCTCATTTTTCTGCACTTTCTCTGCTTGTGACAGGATGGGGACAATAGTTGGCCTGGATCTGTAGAACTATTAGCTTGGAGACAGATCATCTTGTCCCACATTCTGCTTCCAGACGTTCTGCAAAAAAAGGAAAACATTGCACACCTAGCCAAACAAACATACCGAGCATTTGTCCAAAAGTGTTCCCAATCTAGATAACATGGTTCCTTTTCAAAGCATGTAAAAAAAAAATAACCAGACATTTCAGCCATACTTCTTTCATACTACGGACCTTGAAAACAACCAGAAGCCGGTAAACACTGGGTAAGGTATTTCCTGTCTGATGTACAAACTAATTCATACCGAGGTTCTTTAAAAGGCAAAGCGCATCAAGGTAAAACTAAAGACACTGATTTATGAATTTAAAGTACAACATTTTGAAAATGATTTGTTTTTAAATTCTTAACAGTAATTTCTTTTCAAGGAAAAACAGAGAACTGCTGCATATCACAAATGAATCACTGTGGAAAAAATATATCTCTCGGTATGACGCTCTTAAAGCACGAAGGTTAGAGCCTTTAGTCTTACTCATATGTCAAATATACAACATATATCTGTTAGGATAGGGTCAATGTTTGGTCATCATCAAGATTAAAAAAAAAACTCAGGCTGTGAGCAGCTGATGCAGACATTCATCAGCAGGGGATTTTTCTGCACATGTTGTTGGCATAAGAGTCAGCAGCAGCAGCAGCATCATGGGGACTTTTGCTCATTTGCACTGGTTCATGTTATATGAATTTCTAGATTCTTCCTAATACCAAACATATCAAAGTCATCGTGACCCTGCTGGTTAGTTTTCTTTCAGATTCTAAAAACTGCAAACATGGCAACGACAAAAAGCGAATGTGCGCAGGTAATCTCAACCCATGTTCTATTTTTTCCCTTTTGCTCTCATTGTTACATGCAACAATGGAGCAGTGTTGCCCAGTGCAGATGCCATGTGACAGTTCAGATTTCCTCTCTGTGCTTCTACATGCGAGGAAGCACAGGCTGAAGCACCCTGCCAAACAAACAGCATGATGTGTCCCCATGCGCCGATAAAGTTACACAACCCAGGACCACACAATCAAACGGTACAAAGTGAACAGGAAACAAGAAAACATGTGCTCTCTATCTATGTTGTGGTCATCAGAGATGCAGGACTGGAGCTTTCCTCTCCTCACGGTGAGTGAATTGCATTTACCTGCCACTCCAGGTATGACTAATTACATGATTAAACAGCCGGAATACAAGACAACCCAGCTCTTATTCACACACACAAAGCCGGGTTTATGGGATTTCAATGTGCCAAACTGAGGGAAGCCACTTGTAATGTTATATAAGGGTCAATGTGCTGGTGTATGTTATGGCTCACTGCTCATTACTTCCACTGTCCTGGAAGGTGCACACATGTATCCACACATGCACACACATTTACACTCTCTCTGTCTCAGACTTGCATGAAAACCAAAGCATATTACATACAAAGTGTGCTGCTGTTTCAGAGAAAATCATCTGATTGTTTCAGATTTTTGTCACACGATGAGTGGAAATGTGCTGCTTTTAACCTTTAAGGGAGACTATGTAACTTTGGGAGGAAAAAAATTCACACGTATAATATCCTTGGCATTTTTATGGAAAATGAAACTCACTTTACTCTCAATTTTGTTTTAACCCTCCTCCTGTGTTCGGGTCTGCACCGACCTGTTTTTGTTTTTAAATGCTTTAAAGAACAACATACATTTGTTCTTTTGCATAAAGACATTTTGACTTTGTCAGGAATCTCTATTTCAACAAAATAGAAATAAATAAAAAAATCAATTGCCTAAATTATAAAATGCTCTTATTAAATTTATGGCACTTGTCATATTAGGGTCGCTGTTGACCCGGTTAGATTTAAAATCAATAATTAGAGCAAAAGCTGAAATCATAAGTGCACTATGAGGCAACACACTGACAGTCAGATCCTCTTCCAATCATATAAGATTAAAGAAATTCTCATTTTTCCATGTTTTTCCCTGCACAAAAACAACGACAGGCATGTCCAGACATGTGAGATCAGTTCAGTATAGATGTCTGTGTGAGGGGTATACTGACAAAGAAAGGCCCAGAGGACCACAACAAAAAATATTATAAGCAATATTGTCATGGATAATGAAGCCTAACAAGGTAACCTAGAGATGAAAACCAAATTGGATGATAGAGAATTGTTTTTAGTGTGATTTACAGCTGATTTAAGACACGGGTCGAAACCAACCCGTTAACATAGTGGGTGTGTTGTGAAAGCTAACACAGGAGGTTGTCATACAAACTAGTCATGATTAAACTTCACTTACATGAAAATGGTGTGATTCAATTTTTAAAAGAACTTCGCTTGAAGTTGTTTCTTTTTTAATGCAAAAAAGGTGTCCTGTTTCTAGCAGCTGATTTTCAGTTGTAACCCTATGTTGTAACAAAGTGGCAGCAAGGCTAACTCTCTCCTGGTGGTCACTGAAGCAGCTGTTTGTCTTAGCTAGCTGTGTCTTGTTTTCAGCCATTCAGCAAAAGAAAAAAAAGAAAAAACTACCAGTTTGATTGAAAAAAAAAAGAAGATGAAGAGGTGGTTGAAACCAAAAGGGTTGTAGAAGCGCTGCACTTTCATGTGGGCTATAGTTCTCGTGGTTATTTCATTTGCTGGTGTCATAAAAAGTTCAAGTGTTGGCATATAAAACAAATGCAGTTGTTTATCACTCTTTATCAACAGCCTTTTCCTTCACCCTGTCTTTATCCAAGCCGGAGATAAATCTCACAGAATAATATCTACTTCATATTACAGAAAAGAAACATATGACATCACCTCCCTTTGACATAATCTCCCCGAACAGTAAACAGGAGATAGAGAAGAAAAAGATAGCTCTGTCTTAACAGGAAGGTAGAACAGAAACAGAATCAGTGGTCAGAGACAGCATCACACGTCTCCTTACATAAACCCTGGGAGCTCGTCGTCATCTCCCTGTATGAATCAGCCATTATCTCAGAACCAGGAGAGAATTTAGACAAGAGCCTATTCTCCATGCGTCTTAGAGCTGCTTATTGTTAAAGAGAGCGCAGACACTCACAGTTCGTACAGACACTCCGTCTGTGCTTTAGAGCTGAGGAGATTAAGAGCTGTGCGTGTGTGTATGCATGTGTGTATTGTGTTCATATCAGATGAGAATGCAGCTCATGTGTCTGGTATGTTGGTGAGCGTCACCTTCACTTGGGGATTCTTTTCATACACTAAATAGTTTGATTCTATGTTTTCTACTTTATGTTTTCATGTATTTTATTTTGAAATACTACACTTAGTTTAGTTTTATTGAAGGATCTCATGGAGTATTGTTGTTTTGACTATTTTTTTGTATATTTCTTGGTACTGCTTTGGATCACACCAGGTCAAATCTTGTTTGTGTAAATGTACTTGGCATTAAACCTTGACTCTGATTCTGATTTATAGACCACATCCTTTCAACAGCATTACCTTTACTTTACATCATCTTATTCTCATGAAAAATATACATATTGAGCCAAATGTTATCATACATTGAACATATAGAAATTGAGACAAATTTGATGCACTCTTTTTGTTCTTTTTTCCTCCAGCCATAAAACCATGATGTGCAAACATTACAGCATCATTATCGTTCTTTACTGCCATGTGTTTTTTCTCAGTGAAGTCCGTGTTATTGGGTTCATAGAGGTTAGATAATAGTCCTCCTGTCCCTGACAGTCAAAACGGCCTTAAACTCACTAGGAGGGCTGTGGAGAGGGGGGCGAACAATTCCTGCTTTTTGCTGCGCATCTATCACCAACTGTACAAAAACCACCAGAAACCAGATCCTTTTTCAGGCAGCTGTCGCGTGCAGCTGGTAACACGAGACCGGCCTCTCTGAGAGGCTTTTAATTCCACACATGTGGCGCTACCTGTCCAGTGTGGATTTGAAGATTTTATGCGCGTGGGGCAGCTGCTGTGCCTCGTAAGTCTCTAATAGGAGGGGGTTAAAAAAGAAGAGAGGGGGGGGACTGTTAAAATGCCCCGCTTATGAATTTATACCACTATGCATGCACTGTGGCTACTCACCCATTCAGTTATCCTGTTTCTGGTGATTAGCCACATGTGTCTGGACATGTCAAGGAAAAGAGAGTATGAGTAAAGTGGAAATCTGTCACCCAGAGTGTGTCTGTGTTTATGAAACTTTACCGCTGGCTGCTGCTACACAGTAGGTCCCCCAGAGATGCTGCACGCACAGAGGGGTTAGTGAGCCAAGGGGTGGGGGGGCTTAGAGCAGAGAGGAGAGATTACATGTAGCTGGTAATAACTCATAAAGTCCTGGTATAAGAATCACTGCATCACTCAAACAAATGATAAACACATAAACTGTTTTTAAAGAAGGACTGTGCTTGGGCTTTGGCTACAGAAGAGTCATCCCTCCCAAAAATCATGAAAAAAGTGGGAAGAAAATCTGGGGTGAACAAAACAGGGTCTCCTTGGTTTCTTGGAGTCAGCCTCAAACGGACACTCAATGAACTTTCCAGGTTAGAGTAAACCACCCTTGTTAGCCATGTAGCTCCACTCAAGACAGTTCCAGTTTCGCACCCTGCAAAGAAAATCAGAGCAACTTTTTGCCATGTCACATAAATTTGGATTTCACTTTCCCCCTCACAAACAGCAACTTAAATCTTCCAGGAATAAACCACAGTGAGAATTTCGCAGTCCTCAGAAGTAATCTGCCAGGACCAGCTGTGTTGACGTAAGAAACGTCAAAGTTGTGAGAAGAAGGATCATGGAAGACCACAACATGTGATAGAAAGTTCGGATCAGCCTTACTTAAAAAAGAAAGACACAGCAAAGTGCAAAACATGTGGTAAAGACATTTCATGCAAGGGGGGAAGCAAAGTATGACAAAGCATTTACCTCAACACAAGTTAAAGGGAATTTTATTTGATGTGCTGTGGTCTCCTGTTCACAAAAAACACCCCAACAAAAGGGAGCGATAGCAGCTGAAATGACGTCTTGTTACACTCCCAATTCTGCATACAGTGCACTTATAGTCGTAGATTACCTTTAAAGTTTCTACTAATGTGCATGATGCAACCAGAGTTAGGATTAGTGTGAGTGGGACCAGAGTCCTTTTGCACTTGCGCCTCTCTTAAGTTTCCAGCCTCATATATTGCCATGCATTATTCATTTACCTCCGTAAGAGTGCAGAAAGTAAGGAAAGTTAGCAGGAATCTTTGCACAGCAGAGCGGGTCAGCTGCACCTTTGTCAGCAAAACTCAGCAGTAAACAGCTGAAGAAGGAGTAAAATAAAAAGACGCCACACAACAACTGATTTTGCATGGTTTTTATTTAACAGGAACATGTTGTTTCATTTCTGCTCCTTCCTCTAGGAGGGGGACAGAGAGTACTACTTGGAAGCTCAAGCATAGAGCGCTACCAAGAAAGTAACTGTACCCTCTGTGGACTTCTGTTTGTCTCTGTGTTTACTGGATAACACTGCTGCAGTTGAAAGCTCTCCTCAGGAACATTAACATTTAATTTACCTCCTCTTGACTTTTACCACCTCCAGTTCCTCGATTTAATGATTCTGTGTGGGAGTGCTTTCACAGTGGGCGACTTACTTTGTTTCTTTGAGGGAGCATATAAAGTTTATAAGAGGAATAAGAGGGTTTAGGTGCAAAGAGTCTCTGTGAATTTGTGGTATTACAGAGCAGATTTCTGCTTCCGACCTCTTTCTCTCAGCAGATTAATCACCATGCAGCTGGTTGTAGACTTTCCTGTATGTACTCAGCTGGACTCACTTCCCCTGTCCTCCTTTCCCTCAGCGGAGTTTACAGTCAGGTCTGGCAGCCACTTCAAACAGACGTGCCTGCCCCACATGCTAGTGAGGAGGTAAATGCATTTGACTGAGAGAGAGCTGTTAGGCGGCCATGGAACTGTGGTTTCTCTGAGAAACGTTTGTATGACACATGACAATCAAGTGTCCCTGTACTATCTGACCTCTTTTCGCTGCAACTGCTTGTTCGCAACTTCTCTTGCCTGACCTGATTCCTTCCTCTTGCTTCTTTCACTGCTGCTGATGATGAAAATATGCCTTTCTATGTATTTGAATGTGTTTTCAGTATCACATACTGCACACTTTCGCTCTTCAAAAACAACACCTAACTGGATGATTTAATGGACCAAGTGGAGACTGAATTTCTCTACTTATTAAGCTTAATAGTCATCCATTGATTGTTCGTACCAACCTGAAACATCAAGACAGAGAGTCCATTAAAGCAGTAGTTCAACATTTCTGACCACACCGCACATCGACGTGTTAGCTTGCTACGTTTGAAGCAATGTACTTTATGCTACTAACATTGGCTAACCATTAGCTTGCTCACCAACCAATCAATTCCTGAGGGCAGAAGTTGGTACACAACAGTTCTTCACAAACTTACAACAAAATGAGGGTTGATATAATAATATCAAGTCATCTATATGGCTTGCTTTGTTCGTCTCCACGCTTCAGCAGTTGTGGCATCAATCAAAACGCCCGAACGTCTACCCAATGTGTTGGGTAGTCCACAATAAACCAACAAAACTGTATAGAAATTACAACCCAACAGCTAATGACTCTGTTCCCAACATAAATAACCTTGTTATTTGCTGTTAATATTGCAAGTAAACAAAGTAAACATGAAAAATGACAATACAAAAGCTGTCAGTCTTGTTGCTGATGGTCTTGTATGCTTTGGGATAGTGAGTAAAGACATCAGTTTGAATTTCAGTCCATTTCATTAATATGAAAAAACTCTCTATTGGAGCTTTAAACATGAACATGGAACCTGTACTCATCATTTTAGGAAATTTACCAACTCGAGTTTTGGCAATATTAGACATTACAGCTAGTTAGAGCCTTTGTCAGGTTGTTACATGAAAACTAAGTGCTAAATAAAACTAGTATAATTAGCACAACATAGTTAGCTGTGCTGTTAGCAGAACTGCCAAGTTTCACAAAAATGACAAGAGTGAGACTTTAGCGCTATGATGTGTTCGGACGCTGACCTGTGGCTGAATTTTTTAAGGTCGATTTATACCTTAAGCGTGATGTCCTCACCTTCATGCCAGCAGTTCTCCCTGCACTGTGGTCTCCTAATGCTAGTCTTAACCTACCGCCCTCCCTCAGGATAACGTCAAATGGCTTTTAAATGTCGGCGCTGTTGTGTGTGAAAGGTAGTCATAGACGCCAAGACCCGCCTTAAATTGCTTCTGATTGGTTTATATTGTGCGGTGCTGTCCATGGTTGGTTAGATTCAGGCACAAAGGACTGATGGTCTGAGATTGGTTATCTCGGTCAGTCAATCAGAGTTACTTGAACTACGGCAAGCCAAGGTTATTAACATGAAAAAAATAAATACAGAGTATTGAATGGGGAAATATAAGCGCGTGAAATGTCAAGTGTGGCGTGTGGTACAAGAATGAGTCAAATTGCGTGACTGTCACACTCAAAGAGTGACGCTTGGCAGCTCTTTCATATTGTTTTGAAGAACAGACAGAGCTCCGTGAATGAACCCAAACTGCAAGCATGGCGAATTCAAGCTCAACACAAACATCAGTATGAATGCTTGGAAATGAAACATATTTTTGTCGATAGATGTCCTAAAATTTTCCTTGTTGCACCATACAGGCTTTCAAAATATGTTTTTGCACATATCTGTAACATAAGGGTCTCCTCAGAGCCAGAAGATCTCCTGCTGTACGTCCCTTATTCTGTGTTTCCTTTCTGTTATACTAATCTGGCTGCAGAGGAGGACAGGATGTAGGTAAATTCTGCTGAGAAAGAGGATGTCTGGCTCACATTAGATGTTTCTGAGTCCAACCAGTTCACCGCCAAAGCTCACATCAAAGCAAATTTGCTTGAGCCGGAGCAATAAAAGTCCCACTTCAGTGCATCGTCTGGTTTTGATGTGTTTGTTTAAGGACTTTGAATGTTTCAGGTTAAAGGAGAGGCATCAGAAAATTCAATGAAAACGGAATAATAATTAGTGATGTTTTAACTTTCTGCCCCTCAAAGGAGGCTTTTAATGTGTGATGGTGTTCCAGCAGTGCCTCAAGATTGCTTTGCTTTGTGTTGTGTACGGGTATTTAGGGAGGTTAAGCTTATCCGCCCCTCTAATGTGATTAATCCTCCAGTAAATGTATCATTTGATAAAGGATTACTCTCTATCTCTTTGTTGTCTTTTCACTCAGAGAAGATCTTCCAAAGCCCAAATGCATCAACTAATCTGTATCCAAAAGTGCTCCGCTCAGACAAAAGCACTGTATGCTATTAGTGTATGGGCTTACATGACATGAGATCACAAAAGTTACTCTAACTCACTCATCTCTTAAACAAAGACAGAAACTCCCTGACACATGATCAAAGGATGTGTTCCTCTTAAGATCCTTTTTTTCTCCCTGACTTCAAAGCTCTCAAACTTCTTACATACTTCTGCTAGACAAAAAAGGGGGGAATAAGCGTTCGTTTTGCTCCGAGCTGCAGACGGAGAGGTGAAAGCTGGCAGCAAACATGAACACAACTAATAATACCTCCATTGGTCTGTCTGCTCCTTTCAGGCTCTCTCTCTCTCTCTCTCTCTCTCTCTCTCCTGCTATATTTTGTGAAGGTGACAGCATGGTGAGTCAGCTCGGACTTTCCAGTTTTCTTCCTCTTGATCTCGCAGGAACGCGTCTCTCATTGCCTTTCCTGGCATCTGCAGCAGATACACACACATGCACACACACATACACACACTTTTTAACATACAGTTTTTCTCTCTTTTCTGGGAAAAACCACATTTCACACAGGTATTTAACATCTCACCTCCTCCCTTCTCTTCAATACTCGACTTTTTCCCTGAAGCAGGGCCCTGCTAACTCATCTGAGGGGCACAGAGCGCTGGAATCCCCCCCTGGGTCGAAGATTAGGGCGTCTCCGAGAGACAGCCTCATGTCACGGTAAAGCGTGAGGCTGATCTTTTAACCTTTCTCTCCTCTGACTCGGTTTCCGCCACGGGGCTCGAGGTCTAGCTTGGACAGGTTAGGTGTACTGTTACTTGGGTGTGAGAGTGTGCCAATGTGGAGTACAATTTCACACCCTAACCTGAACCCTCTCTGAGAAATACTGAGTGTTTCTTAGATATGGCAGAGTAAACACAACCCTCTGCACCTGAGCTGCACACAGCAGGTTTTTGGGGGTTAAGGAGACTGTGTAAAATCCCCTGTCATGAGTGTGCATACACTGTGATACTATAGGCATAACTACATCTGCAGAATGAAGAAGCATATCTCTTTTTCCTAGAATCTTCTTGTAATCAGATATAGCTTTGTTGACCAGTAAAGTTCAACTCATTTTTATTGCCTTACATGTTTTGATGCAGAAATAAACAAACATTTGAAACAAAAACAACAAACCGAACTGATAAGGTGTAAATCTTTCAGTAACTTCCAATTTCAAATAAGTTTGATTTTGTTTCTTAAGGCAACAATTCAAAATCTATTCTCAATAAAAGATATACCTGAACACATAATGGAAGTCCTAAACCAGCTGCTTCTGTATTCACTGGAGACTTAAAGCTCCTATGAGGGTTTTTTTTCACATTAATGAATCATCCCAAAGTTGATATAAATCCCTTTTTTTAAGATAACCAAAAGCAAACAAGACCACCAGTGACAAGATTGACCTTTGTTTTTTAACCCTAATTGTTAATTTCCATGAAACTGGTGTAGGGGTTTAGGTGTCAGGCAAGTAACAGGGGAGGCAACCTTGTTTTTACCCATTTCAATCAATTTCACAATACATGATTAACTTGACTCAAAAGTCAGCAGGATGTGATTTTTTTGTGAGATGATACAACTTAAGCCCATAGAGGGCGAGAGATACGCAAAGGCTGCTTTGTCCAGAGGGGGCGCCAAAATTGACTCAATCTGGGAGATCTTCACAGAAGCTTTAATTTTATAAGTATTTTCTTTTTAGAATTTTTAAATAACCACACATTAATGCTGACTTTTTGTTAGCATTAGACAATCCTCACCAACCCCGACTTGATGACAACGTCAAAATCCAATATGGCAGCGCAGTGCATAAACAGTAAAGTAACGGTGAAAGCTCTCGTAATGTATTATTTATTAGCAATTCTGTTTTGTTCTTGTGAAATTAAATTGTGGTATATGTTGTACTGCCCAACGTCTAACTGCAAACACGGTGCTATTGTGCTTGTAAGAGTAAAATACTGTGTTATGCATTGTTCACAGCTGGTATAGCTAACAACAACTAACAACAGCTGACAATAGCTAAACACAGCTGACAATTGTTAACAACAGCTAACTGTAGGCGTCCATCTTAAGGTTCCAACTTGTTTACTGTCAACTTGGGTGTAACGTCATTCCCAGCTCCGACATCCGAGGTAACTGGAACGCAGCATAATACTGAAATTATTCTGCTGAGATGCCACAATGTCCCCAACTGTCATAAACAGTCACAAGAACATGAGACCCAAATGCAGAGCACCAAGACACGATTCACAGTCCACAAAAACAGTCCAAGCAGTAGTTCAGTACACGGGTGGTCAAAACACACAGGCAAAGGTATCCACAAACCTTAAGGCAAAAGGCACATCAGGGTCACAAAGAGAGTCAAAACGAGAGCTGGAACGTGATATGAAGTACAACGAACTGGCAACAAGACAGTGAAGGGAGCGAGGTTAAATACACAGAGTAACGGGGAGTGATGGGGAACAGGTGGTCTGATCAGGAATGAACATCTGGTGTGACGAGACAGGAAGCAGGGGAGGAAGTAAATGTCAAACAGAGACAGGGGTTAGTGATTTCAAAATAAAAGAGGAAACACAAGATATGACACATGAGGGTGAGAGAAAGTACTTAACAGACAGGGATTGTGACATGAACAGTGGAGAATACATTTGCAGAAGATGTGTGAGGGTGCAGGTCTGAGGAAACAAGACAGATGATGGATTTTAATATGCTTTTTGACAGATGAGATTGGATGGGAGTTTGGTTATACTATGTGCACTGGGAAGCTGTTATTGACCTTTGCTTACTGCTTCAAACTTAGGTTGGCAGTTTGTGAGCTTGGGGATTTCACATTATGTCAAGCTCCTTTATACCTGGGTGATTGTAGTATCCAAAGTGCAAGACTTCACATTAGGGTCTAATCCACCTCAAACAGACCAGAATCACCACCAAAGCTCATAATAATGTCAAAGAGGTTTGACCAATAAGAAACGAGTATATAACACAATTAGTTGATCAACAAAAGGGTATGGTAAAAAATGGTAAAATATTATTGAAAATCCCTGATATACTAATGTTTAGTGTATATATTTCAGTATTTTGTAGATGTGCAAAATCTTTGTTCACCACATGAACATGCACTCACATTGTTGCTGAATCAGTCATTTTGTGTATTTGTTTTTTCATTTGTTATGTTCCTCTAATTGTCAATGGAGCAGATTCAGAATCAACTTGGAGTTTATTACAGTGACAGGGCACACAAGGTTAAGTAAACAGAGCCTCATGCTACCCTACTCATTATTTACAGTGTATGGCCTATAACTTGTCGCACTATCAATTTAAGAACAGCGTTCAGTGTATGCACAGCTGCTTATACTGTTCACTGTTTGCACCAAACATTCATATATCCATTACACACAAGCACACACAAAAACGTGCGCACACATGCACACAAAAACGTGCACCTGGCTTTTTTACTAAATCTTTGAGTAAGGAGTTTTCTTACAAGTCACGATCGCTGCCTCAGGCTGTAGCATCCACCACCCACTCCAGAACGTGCTGGTTAAACACGGGAGCACATTCAGTTGTTGGACTCATTTCCCCTAAATACACAACAGACTGTTAAAGGAAGTCATTTGTACCTGTGGCCATCAAACTTCAGAACTCCTCTCTCTGAGTGTCACACACTCTGTCTGTCCCTGGAATTATTTTACACTGTAAGCTTTGTAATTAAATCAATTTAGCTGTGAAACCTGTTTGTAAATTCAATAATCTAAGAGTGCAATACTAATAGTACTTTGCCCATGAAGCTACAACCATGCAATACTCTGTTAAACTTTACAATGTGCTATATCAGTACAATGCTACAAACTGGTTTTGTATACACTTCCTGCAATCTTAGGAGAACAGCAGCATACAAAAAAATGCATGTAATGTAGAGTCTAAAGGAAACACAAACTCATACCATGAAAACACTTAACCAGAAAGATATGACAGAAGTGTCACTTAACAAGGGAGACGATCCACTCATGGTTTTAGTGAAAGATTCATAACAATAGGTTATGTAAGTGCTCATAAAAAGAGGAACTTAAAGAAAATAAAACACCCTTTGTGATTTAAGATGCTCATTCACAGCATTGTTCATTCACAACCTCAGAGCTTTTTGGAAAACTGTTTTTTCATCCATGACGTCATGACTTAGTCCACACATGTCAGACAGTTGAATCAGGCTGATAAGATCACCAGTCAGCAAACAAACACATACACAAAGTGTTGAGGTTGAATGGATGGCTACAGTACAGCGGTATAGTGGTATACAGGAAAGACAGGTCTCCCATCAACAGTAGGTGTGTTGCTGTAAATATAAGGACCGGGTCTTCCTAAACTTGTTGGGTCAAAATCAGGTTTTATAAGCAAAAACCAGAAGGCAGTAAAGCGGGGGGTCTGACAGGTAGATGCAGGTACAGAGTTAGATAACAAAGTTGACTGATTACTATCAGCCAGGCTGAAACGTGTGTTGTTGTGAGTGCAAACAGTCAGGATGGAGAGCAAAGTGACAATTAAAGCCCCAAAAGTCTATTGAGTTTGTGTTTACACACGTGCAAAAGTCCGTATCTGTATGTGTGTGTTTACATGTACAACAGCAGAAGCATGCCTTTTATTTGATTTGTACAGGTGTGTGTGCGCGTGCGTGCGTGTGTGTGTGTGTGCAGTATTTTTCCAACCTGTTCTGCCATTAGAGACCAATACAACATCAGAAATAAGTGGTTAAAAACAGGCAGAGGAGTGTGCCAGGGGAAACTACACCAGGTGCCCAAACCTAAGGTCAAAGGTCATGACAATTAGCGAACATGGATTTGTCATTTTGAGATAAATAATGGCATGTATAATGATGGAAATTTACTGACAGTACAGACAAGACAGTTTCTGAACGTGATAAACAGCCATGACATGAAAAGTGCAAAGTTAACAGCCAGAAAAATGATTTATAATTTTGCACAATACAAAACAATAAGAATTATAAATAACAAATATAAAACAATGACAAACAATCAATGACAATTATTTCATTACAAAACAAAAACAAAGGTTCAGGACTTTTATGTTTTTAAACGATGCATGATCTGCAAACAATCAAAATCGTGACGTTAGGAAAAAAAGACCTCTCTGACTTCATTTCAACATGCTATAATGACTAAAAATGAATAAGATCTCAAACTTTGATGTTTAATTCTAACATGATTCATAAAATCTAAGCAATCATACTTACTTCCTATTCAGCTCCAAGTCGCTCAAGCTTCCAAATCCTAACACGTATCACTTTTATCCCTAATTACTGTATGTCAAATAGTGAATTTCCTGACTTTAATTTCAGCTGAGTGCTTGAACCAATAAATAAACATGTTAATACTCACTGTGTCCTGTTTATAGTGTAATCAGCTGCGAAAAGTTTCATATCTGCCAAACAGAGGATACAGAAGGTCCCCACAAAGCTTCTCTGACAGCTGGGCTGGAAATGAATCTCTTCATGCTAATGTGTTTTTTTGGGATTACCTAAAGTGGATGCAGCTGTTAAGAAAATAAGATAAGATAGATTTTAAGTTTCGCTCTGTTCATGATCCAAACGTTCTCGATTCAAAAGCTGCTGCGAGCAGATTTTAGCTGGTAATGAAACACACTAAAATAAACATAAACACCTCTTACAGGCCAAAACAAACACATACGTTCATCTCTAAACATGTATAAGTATATATTCCTACATTTTATCAACATCTTATTTGGCTACACCTAGCGTAATCCTACTAAATTTAATGCAAGATGATAATGAATGTTAATGAATGCTTGCATCTGATTGGCTCCGAGGCATATTAAAACACACTCTCTGAAGGAGCCATTCACTGCCCGCCATTATCCTGATCTTACTACCCATGGGGATCAAGCACTCTTTGTAACACTTTTTTAAAACACTAAAGAGGTTTATTGTTCTCTGTTTGCTTTGCCAGTCAAAGTTATATTGTGCCACAGACAACTTTTCTTAAAGCATGACCAACAACGTGTGTAACAAACAAAGAGCAGACAAAAGGCTCCATAATTGCATCAACCGTCGTTCTAATTTTGAGGGCATCCCTCAACCCCAATTAAGCAGAGCTTGTTGGTTGTCATGGGAGACCATGACAACTTGAATAGAGCTGTCACTCTGGATCAGACTGACGTGTTTCCTTGGTAACTAGGGTCAGTGGGTTTGTAGTGTGTGTGGGGGGAGATTAGACAGGAGGAGGAGGGCAGAAGTGTGGCGGGTGTAAGGAGACTCCAGATCCAAGAATCAGCTGGGAATCGGTTGCATTAGCATTTCATGAAAGCGGTTCAACAAAGCATGACAGACTGACAGACTTTACACAGTTCCGTCAAAAGGTCAGCAAAGCATGATGGGATGTCACACAATGGTGTTTACAATGTGTCATATTCTACCTCTCAATGAGTCTCATCCCGTCTCTCCTTTTTCCATAATTTATCTCCATTACCTTGATTTCGCAAACATATGACTCATTGCTTTTTAGGGCTGTTAACCTTTAGTTGTGTGCTTTTCATCGTGTTTTGAAATAAAGGCTGGCTTTCACAAAAAAATGGGGCTTTTGATGAACACATTTGCATGACTCTCCTAAGCCCACGTTACTGTGTAAATATCATGTTGTTGTGAATGACTCCTCTGTGTCAACAAGCTGCAGCTCAGTGCTGGAGATGCCATTGTGTCGTACTAAATCCACATGAATGAAAACAGGGCCATAAATGCCTCTTTAGGTGATGAAAGTCTGCCTACCTCCCTCCTCGGCTATCGGTTCGGCCAGAATGCTCTTTTTATTTGCAGAGACGTTTGGCTGAAGTGTGCCGCTCTTTATCTCTTGGCACAAATCCACAACCATCTTTTTTCCAAAGCTCTTTATTTTTACCTTCTGCAGTAAAGTAGGCCCTTCATTCTGCATCACAGCCTTGTATTTTTTTTTTTTAAAGGGCCTGGCTCAGATATCTTACAGACAGGAGTAACAGCTGTCGCTAAGCCACCATAGCTGGCCCCCACTCAGCACCCAGTGGGGACCCAAAACTCCCTGTCTCTGTTGCTGTCTCCATCCCGCTGTCTGGGCTTTGGACTGGCTGTCTCTGGCTACTTTCACTGTCCGTCTCTCTCTCTCTTTCTTTTCCTTCTAATTATATTGAAGGCATCATTTTCCATCTATGAAAAAACACACTGCTTCTTCTTTGTTTTTTGGATTACAAGAAATAAAGAAAAGAAATGGAGGCTTCAAAAAAAAGAAAATGACAGAGGATGACACAAAGAAGGGGAGATATCCTCTCCTCCATTCATTGAGACTGCACCCACTCATCCCGTTGCCACTCACACACACACACATACACACACACTACACCCCACCCCAGTCACCCTCTAATCTGCACTGTTCCACCCTGAGGGCCTGAGGCCGGGGCAGCTGCTACTGATGGAGCCAGAGAGCCAGCTGTCCCCATACACTCACCCACACTTACACACACATGCCCCCCTACCCCACCCCACCATTCATTCATCTGGGACAATGGAGCTAGGACAGGGGTGTGCATGTATGTGTGTGTGTGTCATGGTTTTGGAGTGTGCCGTGGTTGCAGGGAGGGGGCCCTCACAGTCAGTAAAGTGGTTTTTATGTTGGCTTTGTGTCCCGGCAACAGTTGGCAGCACGCGTGTCAATGACACGCCTCTCTGCTTTATTGTCCATGAAGTTCAGGAGGGTTTAGGGTCACCTGGGACAAACACACTGACACACTTACACACAAACAAAGATGCATGTGTGTGTATGCATGTGTGGATGGACAGTTAAGGATAAAGCTAAGAACAGAGAAAAACATGCTGTTTGCTCTGCCTGCTCCTGTGATTTCATCATCTTGCAGCAGACCTGTCTGTGTTTTTTTCTTTAGGGTTTCAGCGTATATGGAAAAACATGGAAGGATTTTCTCTGAAACAAACCAATCCAGTGTAGGTCTCCCAAATTAAAAACAGCAACAAAGTTAGGATTACAAAGTAAAAGCATTTAAGATCTACAAGGCAAAAGTTCTTGCAGGGCTTCAAAAACAACACATCAATGGATTCAATCTGTTCAACTTGATTGGTTCATCTTTATCTCTAACTGCGCTACTGTCTGGCTCCCGCTGCTATTGGTTAACCGTATCTCTTCCCTGATTGGCTCAGCTTCTGAATTGCATTAACTTCATCTTCCTGATTGGTGGAGACTCAGTGTAGAAGTTGCTCTGATTTGCCTTGAGTTGAGTCTCCACCAGTCTGAGTGTTTTCTAAATACTGCATCTGCTTTGGAGACAGCGTGAAAGTGAGTTTATGTGTGGGTGTGGGCGTCTGTGTGTGCGTGTGTGTGGAGGCTGATTTGTTCAAGTGGGTGCACAAGGTGGGCTAGGTGTGTAGTTTCAAACTAAAAGGCCATATGGCTGATGACACACACTCACACACCTGACGGCTGCCTCACACCTGCTGCACTGTCTATGGTTGAGTAAGATCAAAGGAAACAAGGCCCCAAGGACTTTGCGTGCGTGCGTTTATGTGCGTTTCGCGTGTGTGTTTGAGGAGACATTCACTGCCTCTGAATCGACGCCAACAAAGAGGATTTGTTTTTGAATGAGAGACGACTCATGTCTGGCTCTGCTTAGATAGGGAGCTGAAAGGACATCATATGGCACAAACTGCAGACTGCATGCATGACAACCACCACAAATAGACTTCTACACAGCTCTCCTACCTCGACAAAAACAATGAGGAGGGTGAGCGAAGAGAGGAGGTGGCAGGAGGGAGTGAAACTGCAAACTCCTCTGTAGGGTGTGTGGGGGTAGTGTTTATTAAAGTGTGCAGGAGAAAGTGTGAAAGTAGTCATGTAAGGGCAGAAAGAAGTCGATAGTTTTTAAAAAAGGAAAAGAAATACAGATAAAAAGACAAGGACAAAAAATAGGAGGGGAAAGAACAAAGGCAATAAAGATGAGCAGAAGAAGGAGAAAGGAGGAAAAGAAGGACAAAAGAAGACAGCAAGAATGTGATGAATGAATAAAGGAAAGGAAACAAAGACAAACTAAACTAAAATAAGGAAGAAAAAGGGACTGTGGAAAGACAGGAAAAGGAGAATGAAAAGAGAAAGAAAAGAAAACATGAACAAGAGAGGGAGGGGGGAATGGAAGAAAGACTGGGAAAATGAAGACATAGAGGGTGGTCAAGAGAAAAAAAAATGAAGTGAGACGAAGAGAAGAAGACAAAGGGAATGAATGAAGGAGAAAAGGAGACAAAGAGGGAAGGACTTCAAGAAAGAGGGGAAAAAAGAAGAATAAAGGGGCAGATAGCAATAACAAAGGAACTATCTAGAAACATAAAGGAAATGACAGAAAGACTTTAGAGAAAGAGAGAAAATGAAGAAAGAGGGAAGGTAGCAGGAAAGGAAACAGAAGAGAGGGATAAAGAAAAGAGAGCAAGAAGCAATAATATTCACAAGAACTGAATGTAACAAATAAAGGACAGAGGAGTTGAGAGAAAGGGAGAGAAAAAGTGAGAAGAAGAGGAAAATTATGGAAAAGAAAGGCAGGAATGAAGAGAGGAAAAGAAAGGAAATGCAAAATGAAGGTTTATATAAAGTTAAATCGGTGTAAAAGTATTTTGACCTCATTCGTAACCCTTAGAGATAGCCTTCAATTTAGCTGTTAAAGTTCCCTCACACTCATACACACTCCCACCCACTAACCTACACACAAACGCACACATACGCAATCAAAGCGGGACGCTCAAAGGCAGGCTTCT